TTATTTTAGTTTAGTGCGCGGGTAGCTCTGATTCAAGCTCTGCTGTGGACGACTCTGGCTCTGCGGCTGCAGAGGGGCTATCAGGTGATTGCTTTTGTTATAGGAATTCTAAGGTCTTAAAAATAGAATAAATGTTGGTAATTGCACAAGGTAAACACACATACATAAGTACATAAACCACATGTCTGAAATAGTACAGGAGAGCAATCCCAAAGCCATCTTGACTCTCCCAATGACCTCAAATATTCCTCTGCAGTAAGAGAGGCAAATGGGGAAAGCCTTCCTATGGTCTTTTTGCTTGCAAATCCTTCTTCCTTAAGGCAATATTTGTGTATGAATAGGGTGACCTGGATTCAGGAACTAAAGTATTAACCATCACAAAAGAATGGCCAGGCTGCCCAGGTAATGCAAACAGCGACCATCATCAGGTATCCTGGCAGGCAAGATTTCTGCTGAAGACCGCCTCCTTCTGTGATGTATGACTTTTTAGGGGGTGGTCTTGGGCGGTGGTGGGCACTTTCAAAAGTCTATACAGTGGTACCTCGGGTTACATACGCTTCAGGTTACAGACTCTGCTAACCCAGAAAAAGTGCTTCAGGTTAAGAACTTTGCTTCAGGATGAGAACAGAAATCGTGCTCCGGTGGCGCAGCAGCAGCAGGAGGCCCCATTAGCTAAAGTGGTGCTTCAGGTTAAGAACAGTTTCAGGTTAAGTACAGACCTTCAGAACGAATTAAGTACTTAACCCGAGGTACCACTGTATAAGGGCTTGCACATCATTGTTCTGGGTTCCTCTCCTCCCTCCCTGCGTGGGCGGAGTGGGGGACCCTGTTGCAACAGGTAATAAAGATCAGACTTACTAGCCGCTTTGCTTCTCAGTATTCTCTGGTTGGCCTCTGTCATTTTCTCCTACCGATAGGGAACCCGCTTAAGGACTCTATACGGGCTCTTGGATACCCCATAAGGGAAAAGGAGCAGTTGTTTTTTTTCTTATAACAATCTGTTGGTGTATGAGTATGAGTATGAGTGAAGTGAAACATGGGTTGTAGCTGAAGAGCGAAAGGATTTCAGTGCTTGTATACACACTGGAAGTGGACACCTATTCTGACTGAGAACATGTCAGGACATGTGGGTGTCTCCGAACCGTGAACAGGTCAAAGTGTGTTCGTGTCTGTGTGTAAGTCTTGTTCTATCGTTGTTGCATTTTTTGGGAAACTTTAATGGGCTCATTAAGGCACCAACATCCAGCCTGATGCTGCTTGAAAGAGAGGAAATTGGGGTATGTTAGATATCTTTGTTTCCCTAGGAGTGAGTAAGTTTTGTACTTAAGGTTTAAAAATGTTAATAAAACGTTTCTCCCCCGTGTTTAAATTGGTCTTAAAGGGAACATTTGGTGGCTGTGTATCCTAAATGTGTAGTTTAAATGCAAGCTTGCTTCAAAATCTTTGTGTGAGGGAGACATGCTGGGCTTGATCCACCCAAAAACATGGCAGATATTGAGAAAAGCGGGAGAGGTGAGGTGTGCTGATGTTTGTTGTTTGAAAGAGGCTGTAAAAAGGACATTCTTTCTCCAAATAGAAACAGGAAAATGTGTGTGTATACTTGCTCTTGTATCTTGGAAAAGAGATTGGGCTCCCCTTCTCTACAGTAAAAGGGGGCAGGGGGAGGGAAAAAGGAGATTTGTAACTTTGAAAATGCTTTGCATGAAACTTGGGAGTTTGTAAACTCCATCAAAAGGGAGACACTACTTAATCTCAGTCTCTTTTACTCTGGTTAGCCTCTTGGTATATTAATTTTTCCCTCTGCAAATAGCCTAGTTTGAGCCCAAAATCCTCTTACAAGCCAAGATGCAGCGTCGGCTTTCATTTAGCCGAGTGCCTGGCATGCTCTGGTCCATGGGGCCACGAAGAGTCAGACATGACTAAACGACTAAGAAACAACAACAGCAACAGGTCTCCTCAGAGAGTAAAAGGTATTTTGAGGAATCCTAGGAAATGTTATGACTATGGGGAAAATTAGTGTCCCTTCTAGAAAAGAAAAGAAAAATGTTAAAAGGTAGAGCTTCCATGTGCCGTAATTGTCTATCTGCGTTTGGGCCTTGACGTGGATTTGTTTGGCTAAATAGGTCATTGGAAGACTGATGTCTCCATAGGATTAACCCAGACCCTCAGGCTTCCCTTTTAAAATGTTTTTTTTTTTCACCTCTGAATTTTTCTTCCCCCCATCTTCTTACTTCTGTAACTCCCAAGTAAGCTTCCTTTAATGAGGAAACTGCAAGGTGGGGGGCCACTTTCCTGTGTGTTGTTATTTTAACTCCCATTCTTTATACCAGGCTTTCTCTTCCTATGTAAGTTCGGGAAATTGTTCACTTTTATCTTCCTTTTAAATTGCTTCTCTAGAAAACTTGGCCCAACCTGGATATTTTATGTGCTACAAGCACCCCTTTAGTCTCAGGAAGTAAATGATAACAGGGATGCTATACTGCAGTTGATTTCACTGGTTCATGCATGCATTTATTTTTCTAACTGGAGTTAGTTTTCTAACCCAAACGGGAGGCTGAAATCTTGGATTCCAGTATGGCAACTACACATGTACTTCTTGGCAGATTGGCAACACAACTTTTGCGGCATGGGTTGACAACCAATTTCTGCTTGTGGCAATGAGTTTTTCCCCACCCTGCTACAAACAGATCCCATCTTGCATGGTGGTGGGGTCTTGGGTCTTAAAAGACCAAAGGCTGTTGACTTAAGTTATTGGCATCCATCTGCCTCAACAGACAATGGAAGAAGAAGAAGAGTTTGGATTTGATATCCCGCCTTTCACTACCTGAAGGAGTCTCAAAGTGGCTCACAATCTCCTTTCCCTTCCTCCCCCACAGCAAACACTCTGTGAGGTGAGTGGGGCTGAGAGACTTCAAAGAAGTGTGACTGGCCCAAGGTCACTCAGCAGCTGCATGTGGAGGAGCGGGGAATCGAACCTGGTTCACCAGATTACGAGTCCACCGCTCTTAACCACTACACCACACTGGCTCCAATGGAGAGCTCCTGCGGGGGTGAAGTCAAACCACTGGAGAATCACTGTGCCTGCTGTGGCTGTAGAGACCAGTAACTTGTAACTGCTGCCTCCAGAATATTTTTTCGTTACCGTATTTTTCGCTCTATAAGACGCACCCGACCATAAGACGCACCTAGTTTTAGAAGAGGAGAACAGGGGGGGAAATATTCTCTCCCTCTCTGCTCAGCGCCTCTCCAGCAAAGCGGGAGGAGAAATGGAAGGGGCTCTGTTTCCCCTCCCGCTTCGCTGAAGGGGTGCTGCGCAGAGAGGGAAAGCTGCGCAGCGCCTCTCCAGCGAAGCGAAGCCAGGAGAGCAAGAGGGATTGGTGCGCACCGATCCCTCTTGCTCTCCTGGCTTCAGCGAAAGCTGCGCACCCTGCATTCGCTTCATAAGACGCACACACATTTCCCCTTACTTTTTAGGAGGGGAAAAGTGTGACTTATAGAGCGAAAAATACGGTACATTAGCAGCACTGAAGTGACCTCTCTAGGGAGCAAGTTTTGGCTGTGTTTTCCTGGGCTGCCCAGACAACAAGACCCCACTCCTGGCCTCGCTGATGTGGTCCAAAGGAAAGCAGAGCAATACATTTGGCTCCTTAGCTTTTCCTTCACCCAAAGATATCCCACAAGGCAGCAGAGGTTTAGGACCAGAGTTTTCCTTCTCTTAGATGGGCTACCTTCTCAGGTTGACAAGCTCCATCTGCCCCTCACTTCCCTCTACAGCAAGTGCAGAATCTGCCTTCTTGACCATTGGAACCAGGCTTGGCCTTGTCTGCTCAATCTGCTACAACCTGTCTTTGCAGGTTTCAGAGCCAGTGTGGTGTAGTGGTTAAGAGCGGTAGACTCGTAATCTGGTGAACCAGGTTCGATTCCCCGCTCCTCCACATGCAGCTGCTGGGTGACCTTGGGCTGGTCACACTTCTCTGAAGTCTCTCAGCCCCACTCATCTCACAGAGTGTTTGTTGTGGGGGAGGAAGGGAAAGGAGAATGTTAGCCGCTTTGAGACTCCTTAGGGTAGTGATAAAGCGGGATATCAAATCCAAACTCTTCTTCTTCCTCTTCTTTGCATGCAAATGAGGCCCCAACTCACTGAGGGTTTGAGATCCATAGCATACATAGTACGCTGGCAAAATGCAAGCCAGCAAAATGACATGCCCTTCTAAAAAATAAAATAAAAAATTAGGTATCTGAATAAGTGTGCATGCACACGAAAGCTTACACCCAGAACAAACTTAGTTGGTCTCTAAGGTGCTACTGGACAATTTTTTAATTTTTAAAATTTATTCCGTCTGATTCAGACCAACACGACTACCTACCTGATTCTAAAAATTAAGTTAGACCCAACAAGTTCCTTTGCCAGCTTTGATGGAAAACCTCTGCTAAAAAAAATAAACAAATCAGGTTTGCTGTGCTGCCATTCAGGAAATCTGACAGCTCTGAACTTGGCTATGAATACTTCTTCCTGCATTTAATCCTTGTACCCTTTGGGGCTTCTCTTAAACTAGGTTGCTGGCGCTGTGCCCAGGCTATCCTGTCCTTCGCCCTCACTTCCAGTTTCTGCAACGCCCTCTCCACCTTTACTCCCCTTTGACGCAATTTCTCTGGTAGTAGCAAAAAGGGAGTGAGATTGACTAAGCTGGGCCCTGCCAAACGAGTTGCCGTGAAGATTGCGGCGCGTCGGTTCCTTGGATCCTCAAGTCTTCTTTCAGATAGGAAACCTTTCCCGATCTTTCAGCTTGGATCTTTTGCCCTGGCGTAGGACCTGTTTGCCGGCACCTGCGCCAGCTCCTTAGACATAAAACGCTGGAAAGAAACCAGCTCCCAGGAGGTGGAAACGAGGAAATATTTATCAAGCTGCGTGCCAACTGTGCTATTCAGGCACGATCTAATTCGTCCTGTGCAAAGGCAGATTCTGCGATGAAAGGAGCAGCGCCGTCGTCATCCCCACAATGACTTGTGGGGTAGAGCCAATGTTTGGCTCACGACGGATGGTGGAGATGTGGCTTTGGGTCCTGCCACTCGTCCTAGTGTGCCTGCCTTCTGCCTGCCTTCAGCCTGCAAATATTCTGGAGTCTGTCCACTGCTCTCAGGTAGGTACAAACCTTCTGAAAAATTGGGGTTGGGGAGGAAAGGTCAGGGAACGGAGTATCCAGAAGAAGGGCACGGCTGGCTGGCTGGCATCATTGACAGGGCCATGCCACACACCACACGATGTGCTTGGAAGTTCAACTTATTCTAAATGAGCTATCGTGGTTGTTCAAATGGGGGAAGTGGTTTCGTTTGTGGCACAGGCTGTATTCCCAGAGAAGGCATGCGTGTCCAAACCTCTTCGAAGAAAGGGTCTTGAGTAAGACTACACTCACAGGCGGTTTACTTCCACCTCTCTCATACCACTCAACTGTCCTGATCTAAGCGGGACATCCTGGAATTCTAGAAGCCATTCCCTGCTTCTGACTGGATCCTGGAACATCCCAATTTTTTTGGTCCCAGCGCTCTGGCTTTTGGCTCTCGTGCGCTGGCACAAATCAGCTGGTTCCCTCGAAAGCAAAATAACGAGAGTCCCAATTTGGAGTGTTTTTCATAGCTGTCAACTTTCCCCTTTTTTAAAGGGAAATTCCCTTATTCTGAATAGGGTTCCTCGCAAGAAAAGGGAAAAGTTGACAGCTATGGCATTTTTCCACCTCAGGTCCCAAGCCAAACTGCCATGCTTCCCGCCGCTGCCACCCTCTACAGTGGTACCTCGGGTTAAGAACTTAATTTGTTCTGGAGGTCCGTTCTTAACCTGAAACTGTTCTTAACCTGAAGCACCACTTTAGCTAATGGGGCCTCCTGCTGCCGCTGCGCCACTGAAGCATGATTTCTGTTCTTATCCTGAAGCAAAGTTCTTAACCTGAAGCACTATTTCTGGGTTAGCAGAGTCTGTAACCTGAAGCGTATGTAACCTGAAGCGTATGTAACCTGAGGTACCACTGTATAGTTCTCTCAGCTGTAACGAAATCGCACGACCTTTTTTAAATGGGGGGGGAGGGGTTCTTAAAAAAACATGCCTGGTTTCAAATTTAAGCTGGGGTTGTGTACACACCATACATTTATAGCACACACCACAAGAATCCTGGGAACTGTAGTTTGTTAAGGATGCCTGGAATTGTGAGCAGTCAGCTACAGCTCCCAGGATTCTGTGTATGCAGTCCCTGTTAATATCGAGCTCTTTGCACCCTGAACATCCTGGGTGGGCCTTGGGAAGAGGGGCAAGTCTCTCCATCTCCCCTGCACTGCCTTTGACCCTTTCAGCCCTGAGGTTCCTCTCCCCTGCCCATCATGGCCTCTCTACCTAATTTTGGTGACTGCTATGTAGAAGGGAAGGAGCACTGTGGTTGCTAGGAGAGACTGAGGAGGAACTACCTGGTACTGTGACAAGGCCTCTTAGGTTGCTGTTTACTCAGCAATTGCCACAGCCCGGCGGCTGAGGCTTCCTCGAGCTTGTGGCCATGGAGACAGCATGGCAGGAACAAAAGGTTTCGGCACCTGTGTACCGAGGCTATGGCACTGCAGTGCTTCCCCCTCCTTTCCTGGCTCTGCTTCTGTGCCCTTTAACAGCAGGCCTGGCATCGCAAGAACTAAGTAGGCCGCTCTTTTGCTGCCAATTTCACCTGCCATGAAAAGTGTCACCTGCTCAGGTGACTGCAGTTGTCAAGGCTCAGGAAACAAGGCCGCAAGCCTTTGTACCAAGCCAAGATGGCGACGTCCCTCACCAGGACATTGCAAAAGTTGAAAAGTCCACCACACAGATACTGCCACTTAGTAGTAGTACTGTTGCTCTCCCTGAGTGAGAGACAGGGGAAAGTGTTTGCAACCACTTTCGGTTGTTTCCGGCTGAGGTGGTTCGATCTGTCTTTTTTTGTCTGTGTTCTGCCACTGTGAGTCGAGCGGAGTTAATTGCACGTTCTTTTGTAATTCAAGAAAATCTTTAGTAAAAAATTATATCGAAACAAGGGGATTAACGTGTCAAGGACAGTGGGAGGAGAATAATGGGGCTGCCATCCCTGTGATGGCATATCCCTCAACTGTCCTTATAAAAACGGGACATCCCATTTTGGGAGACCTCACGTGAGAGCACGGAGCCAAAACATGTGAGATATTGCGGCCCGGAAGATGTGTGACCCAGTTTTTGGCCAGGACATGTTGGGGGGGGTATGATGGGGGCGGGGAGAGCAAAGGTCTACTGAGGTAACGAATAGGGCTAATTAAATCAAAGCCCTTGCCCCTTCTGCTTTGCCCCACTGTAGCTCAGAATATGGGGTGCCAGTCAGCCAACCTGGTCTGATGGTGTTTCTCCTAAATTCCTTCTAGAACAGCTCAAGGAGGTGAGGGTTGAGGGCAATGAACTTCAGTGGTTCTGCTCCAACCTCTAGAGCCATTTCCAGAAAGTAGCTATGGGGTTGTTACTGTTCGACACTATGGCAGCTTTCCCATGGTGTTGCGCAGAGTCCCACCTTGTACCACACACTGTTTAATCTCCTATATGAAGCTACTGGGAGCGGTCTTCGAGAGTGTCAGAATATTTGGGTGGCACCCAGCTTTATCTCTGTGTTCCATCTGAAATAGGAGACACGGCTGATATGCTAGACAGATGTTTGGAAATAGCAATGGTCTGGATGTGAGCCAACAAACTGAAACCGAGGTATTATGTGTCCCCAAGTTCTTGGTCCAAGAGTTGGAGAACAGCGTTGCACTCCTCTGGAAAGAGGAGGTCCATAGCTTGGGAGCTCACTCCTGGATCCCACATTGTCACTTGAGGCCTAGCTGGTTTCAGTGGTTAGGAGAGCCTGTTTTCAGCTCCAGCTGTTTTGCTAGCAATTACCTGTTTTGGACAGCGATGTCTCGGACACAGTACTCCATGCTCTCTGGTAACTTCCAGATTGGGAACTTCAACTGGTCCAAAATGCAGCAGCCAAATGACTGGCTGGGCTTGCCTTTAGAACTCAGTTCACCCTTCTTCCAAAACAGCCCAATTCAAGGTGTTTGTGCTAGTGTTTAAAGTCCTAAATTACTTAGACCCCCCCCCAAAAAATAACTGAGAGACCGCCTCCTTCCTTACAGACCCTTCCTGATGTTAAAATCAGCAGAGGGGGCTGGTAGTTTCACCTCCTTCAAACATTTGGGTAGTGGTGGCCAGGGAGAGGGCATTGTGTGTGGCAGCCCCTAAGTTATGAAATTCCCTCTTTACCCTGGCCTTTGACACCTGAGGGGTCTCGGTGTTTCGATTTCTGGGAATGGAGTTGAGAGATGACCTAACCTGGGGAGAAAACAGTAAAGACCTGATGAAGAGAGCACAGCAGAGGTTATCTTTTCTGAGAATCCTCCGGAAAAATAATCTCTCAAAGGACCTGTTGATGGCATTTTACCACTGTACTGTTGAGAGTGTATTAACTTATGGCCTGTGTGTGCGGTTTGGGAGCTGCACGCTCAGGGAAAAAACAATGCTGTCCAGGGTTGTAAAGACTGCGGAGAGAATAATTGGGTGCACTCTCCCACTTTGGATCAAATCTATGCTTCCAGGTGTCATAAGAAAGCTGCAGAGATAGTGCAGGATAATGCGCACCCTGGAAATTATCTCTTTCAGCGTCTGCCTTCTGGAAGAAGGTACAGGGTTATAAAGACTAGGACTAGCCACCTGAGGAACAGTTTTTATCCAAATGCAGTTTTGGTTTTAAACGCAGTGTAAGGTAGTCTCTGTGGGAGTATATTGTATTTAATTATGGGGTACAGAGTTTTTAGGGGGTTAACCAGGCTGGGATAGCTGGGATAGCAGGCTGGTTGGTTGAATGACTGATGTAGATTTTTCAATTTCGTTGTTGTGTATGGGACAATGACAATAAAGATTATCGTATCATATCGCATCGTATCGTATGTGTGTATTCAGGGCCCACCATATTCCTGCTGCTGTAATCTGTTTTGGACTGTTTCTAATGCTGCGTTTTGTGTTGCTGCCCTGGGACCTGCTGGTGAAGGATGTGTAATAATAATAATAATAATAATAATAATAATAATGCTTTCGCTGTGGGTAAAACCTCAGTGCCTAGGACTTGCCGATCGTATGGTCGGCGGTTCGAATCCCCGCGGCGGGGTGAGCTCCCATCTTTCGGTCCCAGCTCCTGCCCACCTAGCAGTTCGAAAGCACCCTTAAGTGCAAGTAGATAAATAGGTACCGCTTTATAGCGGGAAGGTAAACGGCGTTTCCGTGTGCTGCGTTGGTGCTGGCTCGCCAGCTGCAGCTTCGTCACGCTGGCCACGTGACCCGGAAGTTTCTTCGGACGGCGCCGGCTCCCGGCCTCTTGAGCGAGATGAGCGTGCAACCCTAGAGTCGGACACAACTGGCCCGTACGGGCAGGGGTACCTTTACCTTTACCTATATTGTTGTTGGCATCTGTCTGTCTTGAGAGACAATGGAGCGTACCCCCGGGAACTCTATTTCTACATACAGTTATTTAGATGACTCAGGTGGGGGTTTGCTCCTTCCTTCTCCTTCCTCTGTTGCCACTGCCACTATCAAAAGTTAGATCGTATGTTTCATGGGGGCAGCAACCTGTTATGTTTTTTCCATTGGAATCATACATGGATATAGATATTGTTGGGTGCACCCCATTTTCTTATCGATGAAGTTCTTTAGGGAGGCCTACGTCTATCCAGAGTTCAGGTTTTTTGGTCAATGGAGACTCTGGTGTCTTTACGAAACGTGGTTTTCTTTACGCATATATACAACCTGAACATAGCGCGGAGAGGCTCGTAGCATTAACATTTCAGCAGACCTTGCCTCCTCATTAGGTTCCCAGGGAGATCTCCGAACCATAGCTTTGGGTTCAGCACAGAGCAAAACAGGCCTCCCTGCCTCCTGCTTCTAGCATCAGCCAAAACTCACACACCAAAACTAGGTGTGTGGTGATGTTGCAGGTAGCCTGGTGACGCTGGTAGGGAACGGCCTATATCCTTTCCTGGAAGTAACTTCAGTTGTCACTATGGCAACGTATTTATTCTTAGCTAACTCTTTAAGATGTTGGTGAGTCTGGCCAAAGTCATTACCTTAACAAAGGAGCTGGTTGGACCAGTTTACCAGTTCTCCTTTTGTAGATTCTAACCTCACAGATACAGAATCACAGGTTTGGAAGAGATCCACAGATATCATCACCCAGACTGATTTCCCTGCAAACCTATAATAATATAGTCCTAAACCAGATGTGCAGGTGGAAGGGAGATTCCTGGTTGACTTCTCAGAGCAAAAGATATAGCAGAATACCCAGAGTAGCTTACAGTAAGGGAAAAGCAGAACAGTACTGTTTAAAACAGTCAGTACAAACAGGTGAGTTGTAGTCCAACAATTCCTAGAGGGCTACAGGTTCCCCACCTTATTAAGCCAATATGTCCTGCGTTGGGAACAGCTTTCATAGACCCAAGAAATTGGTCCTCACAATGAAATAACAGTTGGAAGGCATGTTGTTTTAGACTCAGCCTGGCAGGGTGTGTTGTAGGGTGGGAGAAAAGGAGCTCAACTTGCGATAGTCTCTTTACTAGCTCTTGAAACTGTCCCTTTTGTGTCCTTCTATAGGGTCTTGGCTGCCAGCTATTGGGTAAGTGTTCGTACCAAAAAATTTAATAATTTTCATCCCTGTTCTTTATCTTGATAAATCTATGAGCTTATCAACACCTACCTTTTGCCCAGACACAGATCCATACGTGAAGGCTCTGTGTCGGAGCAATTTTTAAATCTTTAGTGCTAAATCGCTTAGAGAACTTAGGTTTTCTGAGGATTGCCGTATGCTCCGATTGTGCTTTAAAGAGCGGGTTTTCGTGGGGAAATCTCCAGAGGGGGAAAAAAAGTGTGCTCAGACATGTAGCTTTAAAGCACGGATGATCTTGCCTGGAAAGAGTGGAGGAAAGGTAAGCATGACTAAATCCAAGTGTGAAGACTGCCATTGACTTGACTTGTCCTAAAGCCCGATGCGTGGGATTCTTTTGCTACAGGGTTTGTTTGTTTAAAAGCATTCTTGTCATCATTTGGCCACAATTCACGTTGCACGACCCAAAACGTGCCAAATATTTCTACTGCAGTGTTCCTGGGAAAGAGGGGAGAGTTTCGGGTGGGGATGGACGTCACCCAAGAAAACCAGCTTTAGACTGCCTTAGTCTTGTGACCCCTGGATTCAACACAAGCTTCTTCTCATCTACAAAAGCTTCAGACTATGTTCTAGGGATGGAAGGCTCTGTGAATTTTGGTTCAGGGCTCTTTTGACGGTAGTGAGTGTTCCTTCGAAATGCTATGTTTGGAGGTGCTAGCACACATTCTGCTGAATAGTACCCTTCTTTCACTGGGTAATTCTTTCTTTCTTTCTTTCTTTCTTTCTTTCTTTCTTTCTTTCTTTCTTTCTTTCTTTCGCCTACTTTCAGAAAAGGGTGTGCTGTGCATCCCTGGGCATGCCCTGCCAGCCCCAGGGCAAGACCCAGTCCTGGTGCTGACCCAGATGGAGACGAGGAACGGACTTCGGTGTCGGAAGCAGCGAGACTGCATCCCCTGTGTGCAGGTGATCCTACGCCTTGGCCTGCTGGGTGAGAAAGATGGCTCAGGGCTCTGTACCTGAATGTTGACCCTGGCCTGTTGCTGTTGCTGCAGTTGGCCTTGTACCTTGGCTTTCAGTCCTAGCTGGCCTATGCCCCCTCTGCCACTTCAGGGCAGGCTTGTTCGTCTAGTGATAGCAGGTCGTGATTCTCACGTTAGGTTTGAGAGGTCGTAGAGTTCAGTTCCTAGACATGCCCCACGAGGGACCAAACCGTACAGAAGGGAGAAAGGCCAGAATTCAACAGGAGGACATGTACTCTGAAAGTCCCAGGCTCTGTCATAAGAACATAAAAAAGAGCCCGCTGGATCAGGCCCAAGGCCCATCTAGACCAGCGTCCTGTTCTCACAGTGGCCAGCCAGATGCCTGCTGGGAAAGCAGCAAGCAGGATTTGAACACGAGACCTCTCTCCTCTCCTGTGGCTTCCAGCAACTGGTATTCATAATAATAATAATAATAGTAATAATAATTTATTATTTGTACCCTGCTCATCTGGCTGGGTTTCCCTAGTCACTCTGGGTGGCTTCCAACAAAGATTAAAAATATATTAAAATGTAACACATTAAAAGCTTCCCTAAACAGGGCTGCCTTCAGATGTCTTCTAAATGTCTGGTAGTTGTTTTCCTCTTTGACATCTGAAGGAAGGGTGTTCCACAGGGTGGGCGCCACTGCCGAGAAGGCCCTCTGCCTGGTTCCCTGTAGCTTTGCTTCTCACAGTGAGGGAACCACCAGAAGGCCCTCAGCGCTGACCTCAGTGTCTGGGTAGAACGATGGGGGTGGAGACACTCCTTCAGGTATACTGGGCCGAGGCTGTTTAGCGCTTTAAAGGTCAACACCAACACTTTGAATTGTGCTTGGAAACATATTCAGAAGCGTTGCTGTCTCCATCTGTGGATGTAGATAGAGCCCAGCCATCAAATTTCCTCCGTGAATTTATCCAATCCTCTCATTAAAAAAAAAAAAGTTTTCAATTAAATATTTTTTCTTGTGTTACAAAACAGACAAATAAGTGGAGAAAAGTACAATTGGTGGACAATTGCTGCACTGCACTGTGCTGAGCTGCGTTATTATTATTGTTATTATTTGGGGTACACAGTCATTTTATTTCCTTGTAGAATCACCTGCCTTGGGTTCAAAACAATACGAGGGAGCTGACAGGACCAGCCCAGAGCGCAGAAGACATCATGGCAACACTGAAGGTGAGCCAGAAAGGAGACTTTGTCTACAGCAGTCTCTGTTGTTGTTGTTGTTGTTGTTGTTTGTCTACAGCAGTCTCTGTTGTTGTTGTTGTTGTTGTTGTTATTTTGAAATATTGCGCAGTTATACAGAAGTCAAAGAGGAGGAACAAGAAAGTTGGTATCGATGTTAACAATAGCAATTGCTGCACAGAGAATAACCACCTTGGATAGTTCAGTTGGCTAGAGCGTGGTGCTGATAATGCCAAGGTCGCAGGTTCGAGCCCCATAAACAGTGCCTTTTTTTCCCTTAAAAAAATGTTTAGGGGTATTCGCCTTTTCCTACTCATATTGAAATACTGCCCCTCAGTGAGGCCAGGCTTAGATTCACAAAACGTTTAGGGGTCTGCGTACCCCTGTGTCCCCCCAGAATAAAGACGGCTGCATATTCCTGCATTGCAGGGGGTTGGACTGGATGATCCTCAGGGTCCCTTCCAGCTCTTGTGAGTCTATGAGCCTAATTAATTCGCGATGGCATATTATAGGAATGTGAGGAATGACTCAAACAGCCTCGTGAAGTATATTGATGGCCGCACCAGTCCTCCAGTTCAAGAGTCCATATCTGCATTTATTTCCATTCCTCTTCTGACACCCTGCACTCCCTCCCTTCCTCTTTTCCCAGGATTCCTGCAGGCGCACGTGCTGCTCTCAGCTGAGACATACGCTTCCTCCCACTGCGCCAGTATGAAGGTTTTGCTCCCCCTTGGTGGTGACTGGCACAACAGAAGTGATTTGGTAAGTGATTTGGGCCCATTGAATGTCCATTGGTGAAATCCAAAATTTGTAAGCATGGAGAACAAGTGGGTGGATCCACACCGTATGTTTCAAAGCACTCAAAATCCTGGGAACTGTAGTTTGTGAAGGGTGTTGGGAGTTGTAGCTCTGTGAGGGGAAAACTACCATTACCAATAATTTTTTTGGGGGGGTGGGGAGGGAATCAAGCTCCTTAAAATGTGTGTTGGATGTGCTTTAAAAGTATGGTTTACAATGGAGTTTACTGTGTATGTGAATGGGCCTCCTTTTTTGAGGCGCTGTCTGTCTGACGGAGCCTTCAATCAGTGCCCATCTCATTTCTTTTTAGCAGTGAATTCAGATTTCCTGTATCCTGGGATAATCTGAAAATTAGAATTAACCCTACTCCAAACTGCTGTTAATCTGTTACTGGATCCATTGCTGCCGTTCTTTTCCTTGGGGGCATGTCTGAATGTTCTCTTCTCCCACTCAGTTTTGCATGCTCCCAGCATCCATTGTCGCTTCTCATTTGTTTTCTGGTACCCATACTTCTATGGGACGTGGGTGGCACTGTGGGTTAAACCACAGAGCCTAGGACTTGCCGATCAGAAGGTCGGCGGTTTGAATCCCCGGGACGGGGTGAGCTCCCGTTGCTCGGTCCCTGCTCCTGTCAACCTAGCAGTTCGAAAGCATGTCAAAGTGCAAGTAGATAAATAGGTACCGCTCCGGTGGGAAGGTAAACGGCATTTCTGTGCGCTGCTCTGGTTCGCCAGAAGCAGCTTTGTCATGCTGGCCACATGACCCGGAAGCTGTATGCTGGCTCCCTCGGCCAGTAAAGCAAGATGAGCGCTGCAACCCCAGAGTGGGTCATGACTGGACCTAATGGTCAGGGGTCCCTTTACCTTTACCTACCCATACTTCTGGCATGTGGTGAAAACATAAATACCGTTTCAAACTTTATTCTTGTACCCTCTGGTTTGCGCACACACAGAATTTCATACGACTGAGTTTCAAGCAAGTGTCTGGGAAGGTGACTTAAAAATAAATAAATCATAGGACTGTGGAGTTGGAAGGGACCCTGAAAGTCATCTAATCCGACCCCTGCAATGCAGGGATCCTTGCTAAACAATCTTACTCACCCTCCTTCACTTTTTAAGCCTCAGATGTGTGCAGTGAAGGTCAACTAAGCAAGCAAACGACATGAGATGTAGACTCAAGCCGACCTATAATCAGATCTCTGCTTCAGTGCTTATCTGAAGGAAGAAATTTAAAACAAGACCCATGCACCTAAATAAATAGGTACCTGCACATACTCACTGGGGGGTTGGTCAGTGAAACAGAAGAATCTTTTATTTTAAAAAAGGGAAAAAATGTGCAGGTAAACAGAAAGCTGTGCATGTGGCCCTTTTCTACTGCCATGGTTCGGCGAGTGGAATGAACAAGTCAGTGAGTGTGAAAAACAGACACAGGGTTAAAAAAAACACCTACTTGTATGCCAGGACAAGAAACAATGGATTGGGTCAAATCCAAATATGCACATGTGGAAACTACTGAGATTGCTTTCGAACCGCAGGAATCTGGATTAGCAGTGAGGTAGGGCTCCGTGATGAACCAGCCCATAAAGAAACTGGTGTTTGTCTAGTGAAATAGATGAGAAGGAGGGAGGGATTGAGGGAAGAATGCAGGATCTGTTTTGCTCCCTGGCACTTGACTTGCAGAGCCGGTTTTGGCTGCAGACGGGCAGAGAACCCTAATCTACCACTAAATCAGTCTGACCACAAGTTCAGTTCCTCCACTTTGCCCTACCCGTATGCAGAGATGGGTATTCCATAAAGTGTATAAATGGAAATCCTTGCCCCCCACTTCATAATAGGTTCTGCATTATTACTGCATTTTCATCCCTCCTTTCCTTCAAGGAGGCATATGTAGTTCTCTTCTTTTTATCCTAATACGAACCCCAGGAGAAAAAGTGGAAAGAGTCTAACAGATCCAAGGTCAGCTTGTGAGCTTCATGGTGCCGTGGAAATTTGAACCTGGATCTCCTTGGCCTTAGTTTGAAACCCTAACCATTATTCCACGCTAACTCCATCTGCTAGTTTTCAGTAGCTATGCAGAGCACTGGGGCAACTCACGCATGGCAAACCTGCTGCGAATCATCCTCACACACCATACATTTAAAGAATGTGACGGCCCCCAGAGAATCCTGGGAAATATAGTTTGCTAAGGGTGCTGGGAATTGTAGTTCTGTGAAGTGCAAACTGCAATTCCTGTGTTTCTTTTTTTTTTCAGGAGGGGGGATGCTCTTTCAATGTGGAATTGCCCACACTCCAGAAAGCAGCTTATCTTTGACGGCTAGATGCTTGCCTTTTGATAAAGGAGAACTGGGTTCCTTGACAATGCTAAATTCTGCAGAGTGTGGTTGCAAAAATGGCAAGATATATTAAGCCCCACTGATATACAAACGTATTTTAGATGCCGTTTTAGCTGACCTTAATTGGTGGGCCATAGAGCTGCAATTTCTGCCGATAATAATAATAATAATAATAATAAATTTATACCCCGCCCATCCAGCTGGGTTTCCCCAGCCACTCTGGGCGGCTCCCAACGGATTAAAAACAGAATAAAACATCAAACATTAAAAACTTCCCTAAACAGGGCTGCCTTCAGATGTCTTCTAAAAGTCAGATAGTTGTTTATTTCCTTGACATCTGACGGAAAGGCGTTCCACAGGACGGGCGCCACCACCGAGAAGGCCCTCTGCCTGGTTCCCTGTAACCTCACATCTCGCAGTGAGGGAACCTCCAGAAGCCCCTTGGAGCCTTCTGTGGCTAACTGGCAGCCTGCATGCCCTCCAAACAATTTCAAGAGCCCCTCCACGTCAAAAGATCATCGCCAATATGGTGTCTGGAGCAGCAGCATACACAAAACGTTTAATGATCCACAGCCACAGAGCTTCTCTCCCTCTGAGCTCTGCGCTAAGCTGCTCTATCCAGCCTCTCTTGCACTGTCAGGGCGCTAAGCAACCAGTGTTTGGGGAGACCATTGAAGCAGTAGCCCCAGATAAGCAGCAGGACTGCAGGCAGGTCCAACCTCCCACCCTAGTGGTGATGGTGGGAGGTAACACTTTGAGGAGGACGTGGTGGTTCCCAAAGACATCCCTTGCCTTTCCCAGTGGGAAAGGTGAAGTGCGACAGATGGCAGCCCCATTGGGTCCCTCTGTGTGTGTGTGTTCCTGTCTGTGGGCGTGATAGTGTGTGAGAGAGAAAGAAAGAGAGGGGGGGTGTGCTCCTTTCACCTTTGACACTCCTGCCCCCTTCCTTCCCAGGGCTCTCTCCAGTTTGACTGCTTCCCGGTGGCTCTCAGCGGGGAGTTGCATATCACGGCATTCACTCATCCCCACTATCAGTTTGCACAACTCTTGCGGAAGACCCACTCTGGGCCAGGTGAGTGCCTTTCAGGCCTGCTCCAGAAGTGAGCAGCTGAGGAAATGGAGGAGAGCAACCAACCAACCTCCAGGCCTTCCTTCTGTGTTTTCTTCCCACAGACTGCACCTGGCACAGAGCAAAAGATGCCATCCGCCTCTGCCAAGGTATGTAGCAATGCCACCGACTTCTTATCAGTGCCGCTGCCCTGACGCAGGTACCAGTCAGAGCCACCCTGCGGCTCGTTTGATAGGGATCTGAGCTTCGTTGAAAACATTCCCACGGCGGCAACCTTTCCTAAGGCTAAAACCGCCTCTTTTCTGGGTCGAAACCAAAGGTCCAACAAGGACAGGGGTGAGGAACATTCCAGCCCTCAGGACAAATTTGGCCCAACCTGAGTCACAGTTAGGCCCGGAGTCCACTTCCTGCAAACGGTGCCAGTCTGCTCCAAATCTGACATCCTTTGTCACATCGGGAGCAGGTCGGCTATACAACCAGGTTCCCTGTGCAGTCCATCTCTGCATATAGCAGGTGTATACCTGAAGGAGCGTCTCCACCCCCATTGTTCAGCCCGGACACTGAAATCCAGCGCCGAGGGCCTTCTGGCGGTTCTCTCATTGCAAGAAGGGAGGTTACATGGAACCAGGCAGAGGGCCTTCTTTGTAGTGGCACCCGCCCTGTGGAACGCCCTCCCTTCAGATGTGAAGGAAATAAGCAGCTATCTTATCTCTAAAAGACATCTGAAGGCAGCCCTGTTTAGGGACGTTTTTAATATTTAATGCTGTATTGTTTTAACACTCGGTTGGGAGCCGCTCAGAGTGGCTGGGGAAACTCATAATAAATTATTGTTGTTGTTGTTGTTGTTATTTTAAAGCCAGGTGAGTTCAAGCTTATCAACTGCGCAAATGAGTTTCCCGTGGGGAACTTGACCACACTTCCAATCCCTGTAAGAACCAGGTTTACCAGCCCAATGCTGGAAAAGCCCCGGTTGGTTCCTAGGCAACCAACAACCAGCTTGGGAGGCACTTTCCCAGGGACGTTGGCAGGTGATTGGGATAACTCACCTGTCCATCGTCTGATGTCATAGGGGCATCAGGTGATGGACAGGAGGGTTGTCCCAGCCACCTTGTTGTATCCAAGTAAATTCTACTCGCAGTTGGAGCTAACCTAGTCACATCCATTAATTTCATTGCTTCTACTCTGAGTAAAAGTGGAACAACACCTTGAATAAGGTCCAAAGTTTGTGTAGTGCAGCTTTCTGGTTTTCTGCATATTAAGGACTCTTGTCCTAACCCTGATATGTTAACCTTCATACAGGCAAAGCAGTACCACGTAATTCAAATTTTATTAGTCAGGGGAAAGATGACTGTGCAAGAGTGGAATTTGGTGCGTATCCAGTCTGGGCTCTGGCATCCTGCTTTCAGAGAACCCCAGCTTTCATTCTTAAATAGCACATTCATATTACTCACAATTGCAGACTCTGTGACATAAGAGTCCACACAGAGAGAAGTTTGAAAATGCCATTCTGTGTTTGATGAATACTTGGAAACGAATGTCCGTTTTGTAAAATGTGTCCTGTTTGCGTAATTTGGGAGTAACCTGCATGGAGCAGGTGAACTCTGTGAACTGGGACAGAGGTGCTTACAGGCACAGTTCCAGTGACTAAAGAAACGATGGAGACGCATCTGATATCTGTAAAATTTGTAACAGGGGAAGACGCTGATCCAGTTTGTGACCGCTGTGAAAAAGGCAAATCATTCTTATTATTGTTTATTGAATTTATATACTGCCCTTTACCCGGAGGTTTCAGTGTTGATCACAGAATAAAATCAAAATATAAAACCACAAAATACATAATCAAAATAAAAACAACAACCCAATAACCCCCCTCCCCCCAAAAAAACCTCCCACCACATTTAAAAAGGGCCTAGAATGTCAATCAAATCAACCGCAGGCCTGGTTTAAAAGGAACATTTTTGCCTGGCGGCTAAAGGTGTATAATGAAGGCGCCAGGCGAACTTCCCTGGGGAGAGCATTCCACAGATGGGGAGCCACTGCAGAGAAGGCCCCTTCTTGTGTTGCAATCCTCTGGACCTCTTGAGGCACACGAAGAAGGGTCTCGGAAGATGATCTCAGGGTCCGGGTAGGTTCATATAGAAAGAGGCAGTCCCTGAGGTACGGTGGTACCTCAGGTTACAAACACCTCAGGTTACAAACACTTCAGGTTATAGACTCTGCTAAGCCGGAAGTAGTACCTCGGGTTAAGAACTTTACCTCAAGATGAAAACAGAAATCGCGTGCCGGCGGCACGGTGGCAGCGGGAGGCCCCATTAGCTAAAGTGGTACCTCAGGTTAAGAACGGTTTCAGGTTAAGAATGGACCTCTGGAAGGAATTAAGTTCGTAAGCAGAGGTACCACTGTATTGTGGTCCTGAGCCGTTTGAGGCTTTATAGGTCAAAACCAGCACTTTGAACTGGGCCCAGAAACTAATTGGTAACCAGTGCAGTTGGACCAGAATCGGTGTAATATGCTCAAACCGGCTTGCTCCTGGTGAGCAACTTGCCATTGAATTCTGCACTAGCTGAAGTTTCTGAACCATCTTCAGAGGCAGCCCTGCGTATAACGCATTGCAGTTATCTAACCTTGGGGTTATCAGAGCATAGACAACAGTAGTTAGGCTATCCCTGTCATGAAGCTCCACCACTGGGCGTAGCTGGGCCGAAGCTGATGGAAGGCACTCCAGGCCACTGAGGCCACCTGAGCCTTGAGCGACAGCAAAGGATCCAGGAGTATCCCCAAGCTACAAACCTTCTCCTTCAGAGGAAGTGCAACAAGAACAGGCAACCTCCCAGCCATCTGGTCTAGGGAACCACCCACTAACAGTGCCTCTGTCTTATCTGGATTGAGCTTCAGTCTGTTGGTTCTCATCCAGTTCATTACTGAGGCAAGACACTGGTCTAGCACTTCCGCTGCTGAGTGTCATCAACGCGAGGGATCATTAGGAAAGGAATGAAATAAAACTGCTGCTATCATAATGCCATTATACAAATCTGTGGTGCAACCACAGTTGTACAGTGTATACTTTTCTGGTCATCTCACATCAAGAAGGATATTGCAATTGGAAAAGGTCCACCAAAATTATTATTATTATTATTATTATTATTATTATTATTATTATCCATTTCAAAAATCTCAGAATGGTTTGCAATACATTGACACATTAAATAAAACAACCCAGAATAAAACATTACTGAATGAATTTAATATATATATTCAAAGCAACATAATTAAACTAAAATATTATCTTAAAGATTTCAAAATAAAATGTTACGAAGGAGTTCAAGTACAGAATGCACATTTAACGCAGAAATGTTAATGAAAAGAAATCTTAAACATTTCCAAATAAAACATGACTAAAGGAAGTCAAATATAACATGTGCATTTAAAACAGCGCAATTAACAAGAGAACAAGATATTATCACAAGCATATCAGCTGCTGTTGCTGCCAGTCCTCGTTATTAAATACTGTATACCACGAAAAAAGGACACCAAGAACTCAGGCCAATGTAAGTTTCAATAGTGGGAGTGGTCCCTACTCACAATTCAATACTCAATAGTAACAAAAACTAATCCATTCAAAAGTATGTATTCTAATGAAGATTACAAACTCAAATAGAGATTACAAACTCAAACTCAAAGAGATATGTATAACACAATAATTCGTTACAAAGATTTTCTCCTTTTCACTCGACAGTAATGTTGATCCTTATAATTTATCAGCTTGCAGATGGAGACTCAGTTTCAATCATAGAGCAGAAGTCAAATTATGGATTGGAAACCAGGACAGGACCCTGTTTCGATGTATTCACCTTCATCAGCTACCGTAGATTCCGGCGTATAAGGCGACTTTTTAACCCCGGAAAAGAGCCCGCCCCCCGCTGCGGCGGCTTTCTCCCAGCGCGGAGCTGCCCAGTGTATTAGGCGACTGGGCTAATAAGATGAACCCTCAAATTGCACCTGCTAATTTGGGGGGTCGTCTAATACGCCCAGTCGCCTAATACGCCGGAATCTATGGTAATTTTTAAGTTTGAAGTTTGTAAGTTTGAAGACTTTCGGATAAATATATGCACAGAAAAGCTCAAGATACATGTTGATCTACCCGCACGTAGTTGTTATCCTAGAGAAACGTAGAAAATGGATAACAACTACGTGTAATCTCTGTTAGAGTTTGTAATCTCTATTTGAGCTTGTAATCTTTATTAGAATACATACTTTTGAATGGATTAGTTTTTGTTACTATTGACTATTGAGTTGGCCTGAGTGCTTGGTGTTCTTTTTTCTTATAGAATCATAGAATCATAGAGTTGGAAGAGACCACAAGGGCCATCGAGTCCAACCCCCTGCCAAGCAGGAAACACCACCAGAGCACTCCTGACATATGGTTGTCAAGCCTCTGCTTAAAGACCTCCAAAGAAGGAGACTCCACCACACTCCTTGGCAGCAAATTCCACTGTCGAACAGCTCTTACTGTCAGGAAGTTCTTCCTAATGTTTAGGTGGAATCTTCTTTCTTGGTTGCTGCCAATCCTGCCAATGGTGATTTATGGTGGGTGGCAGCTGTGGACGCTCAGATTCGATCTCCTGGGTCCGCACTAAGAGCCAGCCAAGATGAAGGAGATGAAGCGACTCATCCCGGGGGGGAAAGGTTACAGAATTTGGGACTTCTTAGTTTAGAGAAAACTAAACTTCACTGGGCGTCCACAATTTCTAGTGTTCTGCGAGAGGGATTAAAAAACAAATAAAGCTCTATCTGCTTTCTCCATGCCACGAATAATTTTATAAACTTGTATCATGTCGCCACTTAACTTGCTGTTTTCTCTAAACTGTGAATTTATGTAGCGTATTCATGGCTGCCTCCTCTCTCCTGCAGTGCTCAGACTGGAGGTCTCCATGAAGTTAGACAAGGCAGTGCTGCATGTGTTGGACATCCCTGAGGGTCAGCACTTTTCCATGTGGCTGTATCTGAATCAGACGAATGCATTCAAAGAGCTGGGCGAGGACGCACCTAAATTGCTGGTGAGCAGAAGAAGACTCCGCCGAGAAGCTGAGCTGAATGCTCCTCCTCCTCCTCGTCATAAGAACCCCCAGAAAAGCAGGAGAAGAGATGGGGGGTGGGATTCTGTCTGGGAAGCCCTTGAGGGAACAAGTGCCTTGGCCTGATGTTCCTTCCCCCTGTTTCAATTCCTTCCCCCTGTTTCAAACCCAAAAGGAGATGTGCAGTCAGTCATTGTTGTTGCTGTTGTTTAGTCGTTTAGTCGTGTCCGACTCTTCGTGACCCCATGGACCAGAGCACGCCAGGCACTCCTGTCCTCCACTGCCTCCCGCAGTTTGGTCAAACTCATGCTGGTAGCTTCGAGAACACTGTCTAACCATCTCGTCCTCTGTCGTCCCCTTCTCCTTGTGCCCTCCATCTTTCCCAACATCAGGGTCTTTTCCAGGGAGTCTTCTCTTCTCATGAGGTGGCCAAAGTATCGGAGCCTCAGCTTCAGGATCTGTCCTTCCAGTGAGCACTCAGGGCTGATTTCCTTAAGAATGGATAGGTTTGATCTTCTTGCAGTCCATGGGACTCTCAAGAGTCTCCTCCAGCACCATAATTCAAAAGCATCAATTCTTCGGCGATCAGCCTTCTTTATGGTCCAGCTCTCACTTCCATACATCACTACTGGGAAAACCATAGCTTTCACTATACGGACCTTTGTTGGCAAGGTGATGGCTCTACTTTTTAAGATGCTGTCAGTCATACATTTCAGTCATATGCAGTCAGCCATACATTTCACTAATTTTCTTATCCTAATGATGTTGTTATAAGAAAAAAACTGTTCCTTTCCCATTTTGTGGTATCCAAGAGTCCTTAAGTGAGTTATTGGTAGGAGAAAATAACAGAAGCCAACCAGAGAAAATTGAGGCGCAAAGCAGCCTGTCTCCACTCACCACATGCAGGAGGGAGGAGAGAACCCTGAACGATGGTGCGCAAGCCCTTATATAGACTTTTGAAACTGCCCGCCCTGTAGCCCAAGACCACCCCCGCAAAACATCATACATACATCACAGAAGGAGGTGGTCTGTTGCAGAAATCCTGTCTGCCAGGATCTGATAATGGTCATTGATTGCATTACCTGGGCAGTCTGGCCATTTCTTTTGTGATGGTTAATACTTTAATTCCTCCTTGCAGGGAAATATTTGAGGTCAAAATGGTTTGGGAGAGTCAAAATGGCTTCAGGATTGCTCTTCTGTACTATTTCAGACACGTGGTTTATATACCTATGTATGTGTTTGCCTTGTACATTTATGAACGTTTATTTTATATTTGGGACCTTAGAATTCTTATAACAGTGTCTAGGGGCAGGAAGAATCTGAGACCAGGCAAGCTTTTTCTCGCTAAGCTGCTCTCACTCACGTCACTTCCCTGTTTTGTATTTAGACTGGAAACGAGAATGTGAGCTTGCCTGTCGACCAGGTGTTACCCTGTCTCTGCGTGGAGGTAAGGATTTTTACACACACCACAAAGTTTCCCCCCTCGCTATACACCTGATGCACGTTTAACTTTAAATAAGTGTATGCCTTCCCCCAGAGAATCCTGGGAATGGTAGTTTACCCTAGCAGAGCCACAACACCCAGCATTCCTAGCTTAACTACAGTTCCCAGGATTCTTTGCAGGAAGCCAGGTGCTCTCAGCATGCATTAAATGTGCGATGCAGTTGCAGTGTTCTAAGCCATACCCTTCCTCACATTATGACAACAGTGGGAAACTTGTGGTCCTCCAGGTATTGTTGAACTACAGCTCCCATCACCCCTGATCCTTGACCATGCTTTCTGGGGCTGATGGGAGAGCCACCACCTTGTCACCTGCGACAAGTTTGATTTGACTATGGCCCAGCTGCTAATGTCCTAAAATAGTGGGTTAAGGTTTAAGTCTGACTAGAACCCTGATTTTTTTTAACAGAATTTTAATCCCAGTTTTCATACATGAATCATTTCACATAGCAATTTATCGGAGTAAGTCCTGGGTCTTACTGGGTCGTTTGACCCAGTACTGATCCCTGTGCCACCACGGTGATTGCTTCCCCACTGCCACCAACCCATTTCTCTCGGGCACACACAGAGTCCAGACAGTTGTTAACATTAAACCAAATAAACAAGTTTCTTTTATAAGCATTAACAAGTTTATGGTTTCAGATAATTTTTCTTGTCAGTTTCTTTATCTTACGTAGTTTCATTACCGGCCTATACCTTCCTAATAACTTCTAACAGATTATCCCAACTGTCTATCTGACTCCTCTTAACAGATTCTCTCACTCTCTCACATCAAAGTATCCCAACCCACAGACTTATCCTCCCTCTCTCTTCTGTAACACCCGACTGACTCCTTAACAACACCAGCTCTAACTCTAACTCCTCCCCTTGGGTTCCCACTTGCCAATCACTTCACACTCACTTAACCCTTTCCTTATGACCCAGCATGATGTCACCTAGGAGGGCAAGCGCCACAGTCCTTATACTTTTTTTTTTGCAATTTCTTCATGAGTAAGAGCATTTTTGGAATACCTCAAACCTGGTGATGCAAGTCCCTAAATGGTGCTCTGGTTTGAGCCGTGGTTATTTCCAGGACTTAAGGGCTGGTTTACAAGTTACAGTCTTACCTTGGTTGTCAAACGGAATCTGTTCCAGAAGTCCGTTTGACTTCCCAAAAACATTTGAAAACCAAGCTGCATATTGGGAAGTTCTGTCGGAGGACTAAAGTCTGGGAGGAGAAATTGAGAAATAGAGCTGTTTTTATATTGTGGGTGAAACTCCTCAGAGGGACTTAAGAACGACAGTTCTGTAATTAATGATGGAAAGAGCGATGTTATCTATGAAGGCGATGATATATGGAAACCATCTCGATTTGAGGATTGGAAGAACGGAAAAATTCACACAGGATTATTATTGGTTTTTTTTAGCTTAAGGAGACTATCAGAAGAGATCATAAAGAAAAAGAGAAAATATATGAACAAGATGTGATGTGGAAACAGCAAGATAAGACTGGATAGAATTATGAACTCTGTTTGGACTGATTTGGACTGATTTGGACATTAAAGCAGTAGCAAGAAGATGATCAGAATCCCCCTTCGGATCTTGAAATATGGGTCCCCTCAACAACAAAATTTAAAATTCGGCTTTGTAATTTGGAATTTATGTGATGTGATTTAATTTGATTTGATTGGCCGGTTAATAAAAATTATTTAATAAAAAAAAAGAAAACCAAGCTGCAGCTTCCGATTGGCTGCAGGACCTTCCTGTACTCAATCGGAAGCTGTAGAAGCCGCGTCAGATGTTTGGCTTCCAAAAAAAGTTTGCAAACCAGAACACTCGCTTCCCGATTTGCGGCATTCGAAAACCAAGGTACGACTGTACTTTCACCCAGATGACCTTGAGAAGAAGCGTAATGGCTGAGGACACCATGTGGTAAGCTGCATGTGCACAGCCATTCACCAGGTGATTTCTCTCTCTCTCTCTCTCCCCCCCCCCCCATTACACACACAACTGCACATCTTCCTTGCATTTGGCCTCTTATTCTATTGGGTATTGTGTTCATAGGTCTGGCCCAATGTCGGAAGCCAAGAAGATTCGCCCCGAACTCACCTGTGCCCCTTTTCAAGCGGTATGCGTTTTTTTAAAAAATCCAGTCCACATCGGACCCAGAATTTCAAAAAGTGAAAATGTTAGCATTAACATGGGGTGTGTTATTCTGGGCCGGTCATACCATTAGGCAGAAGGGAACATCTACCTCAGGCGGCAGGAAGCCACTGAAGTGCAGGGAGTCTCAAGGTGGTGTTGAAGGTCTCGTGTGTGTGTGTCTCAGGTAGACTTCTTTCTGTCGCCTGCCCTAGGCCAACCTGTTACTATCAGGTGTGGTGAGGGATGCTGGCCAAAGCAGGATTTAGCAGGCATCTTTTTGTACCAAGTGTGGGGAGAAGGGTGTGTGTATTTGACATCTTCACCTCAAGCAGCAAACTGTCCTAGGCCATCCCTGAACATGTTGACAGAGGAGGACTTGCCATAGTTATGTGTACTTTGGGAGGGAGAGCGGAGAGCGTGCATGTGTTGGAATAGTGTATGAAGGACATTCTTGCCTGTTATTACAAAGACTTGACTTTCTGTTCCAGATGCTGAGGCCTTGTCCAGGGCCTGGAAACAGAGCCGTCTGGAACTTAAAGTCTTTGAGGGGACGCTGACCTGCTCTCTCTCTGCACCGTGCGACCTCCCAGGGGAGCTGGTTCCCTGCTGGAGGAGGGCACCCCATGCCTCTTGCCACCCACTGCACCCCCAGCTGCACCTGGCCCTCACCCCACAAGTGAGTAGAGCAAGGAGCAAGTGGGGCGGGGAAAGGAGATGTGGGCGAGATGGCAAGTGTGGATTGTGTGGAGTCCAGTAAGTCTCCAGACCCTCCAACATTCTCCCAATGAAAATAGGGACATCCTATTCAATAATAATAATAATAATAATAATAATAATAATAATAATACCCACCAATCTGACTGGGTTGCCCCAGACACTCTGGGCAGCTTCCAACATATTTAAAAACACAATAAAACATAAAACATTTTAAAAAATACTTCCCTATACAGGGCTGCTTGCAGATGTCTTCTAAAAGCTGGATAGTAACTTATCTGCGTGGCTCTCAGGGGTCCATACACTCCGATGAAAATACAGTGGTACCTCGGGTTAAGAACTTAATTTGTTCTGGAGGTCCGTTCTTAACCTGAAACTGTTCTTAACCTGAGGTACCACTTTAGCTAATGGGGCCTCCCGCTGCCGTTGTGCTGCTGCCGTGCTATTTCTGTTCTCATCCTGAAGCAAAGTTATTAACCCGAGGTACTATTTCTGGGTTAGCGGAGTCTGTAACCTGAAGCGTCTGTAACCTGAGGTACCACTGTAGGGACATCCGAGATGAGCGCCGCAACCCCAGAGTCGTCCATGACTGGACCTAACGGTCAGGGGTCCCTTTACCTTTACCTTTTTAAGGCCTTTACCCTTACCTTTAAGGCAAAGCAGGACTTTCCGGGATCAAATCAGAAACCAGGATGGCTTCTGTAAAACCCTGGAAAATAAGGGGACACTTGGAGGATCTATGATTCAGGCTGCTTATGTGATGTAGACACGATCAATTAAATATCCGGCACATGGCCCCTTTAAGTGAAAAGGTGGTCGTGACCCAGGAGGCCAGTTGTTGGAGAACTAACTCGGAGGTATGGCCTGGATGGGAAGGTTGGAGTTACTACTTTGTGCAGGCTCCAGGACCTCAGAAAGAAAGAAGAGTGTTTGATTTCCAATTAACTTGGCTTGCAGTGAGTTCCTAGTGAGAAGTCTTGTCACTTGCAGAGGACTTTCGAGGTCAGGCTGAGGACCACATCAGCCCCAGAGCTGCAGATCGCCCACCTGCGTTCTGTGGAAATGTGGACATTATGGGACATCTACGTGTTACAGCTGGGATGGGGGAGCCTGGCGCCCTCCAGTTGTCCTGGGACAACCCTCCGACTATTGGCCCTGCCGGTTGGGGCTGATGGGAGTTGGAGTCCAACAACATTTATAGGGCCCCTGGTTCCTCATTCCTGTGGTGTGCTGGGATAAGAAGCAGCCCTTCAAACCAAGAGCATCTGACAGCAGGTCTAAAGCGTGAGGGGTTTGAGGCATTTGCACCAGGAGTTCCCTTCTGATGGGTAGTGGCTGGGTTGGTGGTGAAGACATGGGCAGGGATGGGTGTGCAAGTGAGCTGTGAGTTTTGTGACTGTAACAAACTCTTCCCAAACCTCTTAGGTGCCGCAGGAGTTCCCAGGACTGACACCCCACCCCAACCTCTGTGTGCAGGTAGGACCCACATAATTAACAATCCACGTAATTACAATCCATTCAAGAACAATGACTAAGCCTCTGTTGTCCAGCTTCCTGAGGTCCTGCATAATGTTGGCCTGTTGTCTTAAGGCATTTTGAAAGTCAGAATTGGGCTCCCCGCCTCACTGTTCTTATCTGGAGCTCATTTTTTATAGTGACTTGCAGAGAAAGAGACCAAAGAGAATTTCCTTACTAGAGTGATTCCTTCATGTGGCAAAGGTGTAGTGGTCATGGGGGGGTAGGGGGGGCAGAAGGCAGGGAGACCAATAGGAGGTGATGCCAAAGAGCCAATGACAGGCAGAGTCACCTGCTTCTAGTTTTGCCCCCAATCCCCTCCCTGCTTGGGTCTACAAGGACAGAACTGAACCGAGGAGGAGGAGGAGGAAGCTGCCAGCCCCCTGGACTATTTCTAAGCAGGCAAGTCTGCAGATCAGGGGGCTGAAGGGGGCAGATTGAGTTTGATGGGGCAGTGTCCTGTTCACTCTGATTGCCAACCTCTGCTGTAAAGGTGGCCTGATCTCTCCACCTCCTGTCTTCAATTTCCTTATCGCAAAATGTCCAGTCAGGGTATGGGGGGGGGCGCGGGAAGGGTTTGCTGCGCTGCTCCCCGACCTGGACGCACAGAACGCACCTTGTTTTAGAGGGGGAGAACAAGGGGGGGGGAAATCTCCCCCTCTTTGCACAGCGCCCCTTCAGTGAAGCGGGAGGAGAAATGGAAGGGGCTCCGTTTCTCCTGCCGATTCGCTGAAGGGGCGCTGAGCAGAGAGGGGGAGAATTTTTTTTTCTTGTTATCCCCTCTAAAACAAGGTGCGTCCTATGGTCCGGTGCATCCTATAGAGCGAAAAATATGGTAAGCCCACGTGCCAATGTCTTTCAAATCTGCCTTAGCCTTCCATTTCTGGCTAGGTGCCTCCAGGAAAAACTCAAGGGCATGACAGGACCTCCTACTGACCCATGCTTTCCCTTTGTGCAGGTCAGGAGCAACGGGAACACCTACCTCCAAAGCTGCCTGCAGGAAGGTGAGTGCCACAGTGGTCTCTGAGCGCCAGACTAGACTAGACTAGAGGTATTTAACATACCTCTGAATGGCAGTGGCTGGGAATGGCAGCCTTCTTGTGCTCATGTCCAGTTTGCAGGCTTCTCACAAGCATCTAGTCGGCCACAGGATACTGGACTAGATGGGCCTTGGGCCTGATCCAGCAGGCTCTTCTTATATTCTCCCTCCCCCATAATTTTGATTAATTTTCACACAGTTTTCATTCAGTTCTATTTCAATACAATATTCCCTTAACGTTTTGACTTCGCGTCCTTACTTCCATGACGTTTCCACTCAAATCCTTTATCAGCTGCCTTAAATGTAATACTTATTTCTATGACCTATATCCTACATTAACATTCCTTTTATCATTCCCATTCCTCTGCTTATACAGTGGACACTCGGGTTGCGAACGTGATCCGTGCGGGAAGCACGTTCGCAACCCGCAGTGCCGCATCTGCGCACGCGCGGGTTGCGATTCGGCGTTTCTGCGCATGCACAACGTGCGATTTAGCACTTCTGCGCATGTGCTGAAACCCAGAAGTAACCTGTTCTGGTACTTCCAGGTTCGGCACGGTGTGCAACCCGAAATCGCGCAACCTGAAGCGTCTGTAACCCGAGGTATGACTGTATTTCAAGTCCTGCCTGTGATTTCCATTTGACTATCAGAGCTCTTCTCGTATATTCCCAAGAACGGAGATGAGATCCGTGGACTGATCCTGCGGCCAAGCTTTTCATTGAATCTTTCTTTTCTCTTCCCCTAGATACCGCAGAAAGCCCTTGGCAAACCAAGCAACATTTGCTGCTTCGGAAGACTGAGCATTCCCAAGGGAGCTCTTCTACACATGTCTTTGAGGAGGGTACCTGGGTCCCCATCGCTCAAGCTGCCAGCACAGTAAGTCCTGGACTGCCACTCTTTTTTCCCTCCTGCTATGGTTCAGATGCTGTTCTATAGGGTGGAGGTGGGGGGGTAGCTGTACGGCACTCACTGCATTTTCTTTTCCCTGTTCTCCACAGGGAAATGGGAATCTGGAGGTCGCCCTGGAGAGGGACTTGCAGTCAGGAGAGTGCACGAAGGTGAGAGTGGGGACGAGTGTCAGGAAGAGGGAGCGCATGCCTTTAGGAATTGCCACATGTTGGATGGTGTTGAGCTTGTTAGAATTCCTGCTCCGTTATTGCAGTTATGGGATTTTTGTCTATCACATGATGGTGTATATTTTGACTCTCACAAAATACTGAGAGTCTGGAGGTTCTTTGTAATTAGTTTTGCAATTTTCTTCTCCCGTGATGGAGTCACTGGAAACATTGTTCTGCCAAAATGCTGAGTTGCTGAGGTCTGTCATGCAAGCTGCGAAGACTCTGCGGATCCCTAAGTGTGCCGATGTCTGTTGGCATCGGTCGCTGTGATGTTCGGGCTGAAGAAAGCTTTTGAAGCTCCCGAACAATCGACTAGGATGGAGAGAACATGCCAGTTGGGCATGTGTCTCTGCCCGGGTCCTACTCGAGTGTAGGACGAGCTCCTGAGAAAGCTGACTCCTCCAGAAGACCTATTGAATGAGCACACATCATGATTTGCTTGCACAGAGACTGTCTTGGATGCTTTAGCTGAGATTCCTGTGTGGCAGGGGTTGGACTAGATCACCCTTGGGCTCCTTTCCAACTGTACAGTTCTATGATTCTTTGACCCTTTGGACCAGTGGTTCTTTTTGTGAGTATGTTCTGCAACATGTCATGGACTCCATCCTAGTGCATTCATGATGGATTTATAGTGCACCTTCCACAGAGCATTGGCTGGTGCTTCTTTCCCAGTGTTATCACATTACTGCCACCAGGAGGGTTGCTCTTGCACTAGGTAAAGGTAAAGGTACCCCTGACCATTAGGTCCAGTCGCGGACAACTCTGGGGTTGCGGCACTCATCTCACTTTATTGGCCGAGGGAGCTGGCGTACAGCTTCCGGGTCATGTGGCCAGCAGCGCACGGAAACGCCGTTTACCTTCCCGCCAGAGCGGTACCTATTTATCTACTTGCACTTTGACGTGCTTTCAAACTGCTATGTGGGCAGGAGCTGGGAGCGAACTACGGGAGCTCACCCCATCGTGGGGATTCGAACCGCTGACCTTCTGATCGGCAAGCCCTAGGCTCTGTGGTTTAGACCACAGCGCCACCCGTGTCACTGTGTAACTCTTGCACTAGAGTGTAGCAAAAATGGGACATACCCATGTCAGACATTTGTGGTATAAAAAGTTACAGCAGAAAATCACGGGATGCGCACTGATTGGAAACTGTATGCCTCCCCTGTAACTTCTGCAGGCTCAAAAGAGTGTTGAAAGCAGGATTGCACATAAACCACCATGAATGCATAATAATCAGGATGCCTGGAGGGATCCTCTGTCTGGTCTTGATTAAGCATTTGTTCATATTTGTCTTGGGGCGGTCTTATGACAGCGAGCATTCGTTCGGATTGACACGTCTTCCCACGAGTCATTCGTTCACCCCCCACTTTTCAGTGCATCTCCACATTACTTTTCAAACAACAAAAACCCGGTTGTTTTTCAAGTGGATTCGCAGCACAAGAGAGGCAGAGTTCTTTAATCCACCTTTAATTGTGCAAACTGAAATTTCCCAGCGTGTGCTTGAAGCCCTCTCATAGAATGCTGAGAGTCTGGAGGCTCTTTGCAATTAGTTTTGCAATTTTCTTCTCCCGCGATGGAGTCACTGGAAACATTGTTCTGCTACTCTTGTTAGTCATTGGCTAATTGCTCCATCTGTATCATTCTTTATAAAAGCACCTTGTTCCTTTTAGGTATTTTAATGCATACTTTGGCACTCTTTAGAAACGTTTGGTTTGTGAGGTTATCTTAAACACACACTGGTTTAATGGTTGATCATATGACAAAGGCTTTGGGGCGTGTACACAGCTTGGGACATGGCTGTAGGTGTGCAGAAACCTGTTTACCATCTTATCAGGGACAGAGATTCCCTGGCCTTAAACTGGTGCAGTAGCCGCCGAATCCTATGCCCACTTTATTCAGTACAACAGTGGGGAATTGCACTGCTCCAAAAACCACCACCCCACCATAGAGGTGTGCTCTTAGCAGAGAGGCAGCCTTGCATTGAGCAGCCTCTTGCTAAGAAAGGGGAACTCTGAAGGCATGGAACAATTTGGCTGGCGGTCAACTCAATCCACACCTTCAAGAGCTTCCAGGCAGAAGGGCTGTCCATTGCTGTGCAGCCTCGCTGAGAAAGGAGAGCTTTGGAAGGCAGAGATTGGGCTAGCCCTGTTAGAATTCCTGCTCCGTGATTGCAGTCATGGGATTGTAGTCTATCACATGACGGTATATGTTTTGACTCCACAAAGTGGGAAGTGACGGAGACAGGATGTTTGTGTTACTGTGTTCCGTGAAGTGGGACTGTTGTCCTTTGTGCTTTCTCTTTGCTGTCTGATGCTAGAGAGAGAGGGAGCCATGTTGCAGTGCTCCGTGTATGTTTATATGTAAATAAAGTAGATTAGCCGAAATGCTGAGTTGCTGAGGTCTGTCACGCAGGCTGCGAAGACTCTGCGGATCCCTAAGTGTGCCAGTGTTGGTTGGCATCGGTCGCTGTGATGTTCGGGCTGAAGAAATTTTGAAGCTCCCGAACGATCGACTAGGAGGGAGGGAACATGCCAGTTGGACATGTGTCTCTGCCAGGGTCCTACTCAAGTGTAGGACTACAACTTCCATGATCCCTAGCTAACAGGACCAGTGGTCAAGGATGATGGGAACTGTAGTCCCAAAACATCTGGAGGGCCGAGTTTGCCTTTGCCTGGGCTAGCTCCTGCCAACCGACCCAGTCTGTGCCTTTAAAATCCTCAGTTGGGGAGGCTTTTACACTCTGGGCATCTTCCCAGCCCGAGAAGAGGGAGGTTTGAAGGCCACATACCCCACTCCCACAAGCCAAAGTTTATTTGCTGGTCCCAACATATATCATCTATTCCAATACATCCCTTGTGGAGGCTGTATCTCCTAAACAGACACATGGAGAAAGAGGAAGCAAAAATATTTCTTGCTAACTATTCATGGCTGCCAATGGCAGTGGCACGGAATGACGTTTTTCTTAGGAGAACGAGGCCAGAGGCACCAGCTTGCAAGGGTGATTGTGAGTGTCACACTTCCCTCCCTACACCAGGCAGAAGCTGCCCGGGCTTTGGGAAGGAGGCACAGGATACTGGAGCCCTGCTTCATCCTTCCAAAGATGGGAGGGCTTTGGGGAAGTGGTGGGAGGGCTCTTGGAGCCTTTATGGGACTTAGCCTGGTCCCCCTACTCCACTGACCACATGCTGCTGGCTGGTGGTTGAAGCATTGGGACTCAGCCATTGGACGCAATCTGAGGTGAGCCAGGAGCTGTGCAAGGAAGTCACAACTGAAGGACTAGCAGGATCAAGATGCAAGCCAGAAGTCAGGACTAAAGGGTTACAGGAACACGCCAGAAGATCCAGTTGGTCAAGGAAGGCTTATCTGGAACAGGAAGCCCTCTTATGCTGCTTCCTGTTGAGGGGATCCAATCGTCATCCTGGGTGTGGTCAACCCTGGGCTTGAAGATAAGCAGCTGCCCACTCAGAGGCTGTGATGTGTAGTTTGCTGGTTCATTGTACAGGTATCTTTGTACTCCAAAGCTCCCAGTTCAAGGGCATCCTAAGGATTATGATGGATGGCTGTCCTAGGCATCTTGGTGAATTGCATTTGATGTACAGTCGTAACTTGAAAGTCAAACGGAATCCCTTCCGGAAGTCCATTTGACTTCCAAAACATTCAGAAACCAACACGTGGCTTCTGATTGGCTGCAGGAAGCTCCTGCAGCCAATTGGAAGCCATGGAAGCTCTGTCAGACATTCGGCTTCCGGGTTTCGATTTTTCAGGAACCGATTTGTTTGGGAGCCAAATTGTTTGAGACCCAAGGTACGGCTGTATTTAATTTATAACCAGTGCTAGAACAATCCCCTTAGAGATGCAACCTCCTCCTTTGGGCATTGTTCAGTAAAAGGTTGGGAGCTCCTGTAGTGTGGTAGCCAATAGATTTCCTCGCCTAATAACAGGCTCAGTAAGTGGCCTTGAGCTAGTCGCAACTCGTTTGCAGCAATGGTGCAATTATAATGCAGTGCCTTGCAGAGGTTGCTGTAAGCATTGCTGATGTGTGAAGTGCTTTAAATGCTCCAGACCTGGGGTGGCTAACCTGTGGCCCTCTGGCTGGACTACAACTCCCATCAACCCCAGCCAACATGGTCCAGGATGATGGGAGTTGTAGTTCAGCAACATCTGGAAGGCCACATGCATAACTTCCGCACCAAGCAAGGAAGACACACTCTCAATAAACAGAGGTTGTTATATATAACCTTCCCGCAAACAAGACAGAGCTTCCGCTCAATTAAGAGCGGATGTTGTATATTACCTCCAAGACTTCGTGCAAACAAATCGGGGTGAATGCTTAATAAACATTCATTTCCAGAAGTGGAAGTGGCCTAAGATAGTTGCCAGGCTAGCTGTGCGACTCTGTGTTCCCAGGCAAACAAGACCATGAGCCAGCTGTTCTTTTATCATTGTTTACAGGTATGGCGTTCAGAGGACGGTGAGAACCATGAGCTCTGGGCCTGTTCACTGGAGAAGTGTGAGTGCACCTGTGTCTGGGGCAACAGGGATGCCTCCTTGGAGGAGAGGTGATCTTGAATTCCTCCAAGGGCAACTGGGGAATAGAGGTTGCACAGGGATTTATTTACTTATTTATTTATTTAGACCATTTCTATACCACTTCATATCTAAAAATCAGTTTTAATGGGGTAAGGTAAAGGTAAAGGGACCCCTGACCATCAGGTCCAGTCGTGGCTGACTCTGGGGTTGCGGCGCTCATCTCGCTTTTTTGGCCGAGGGAGCTGGCGTACAGCTTCCGGATCATGTGGCCAGCATGACTAAGCCGCTTCTGGCGAACCAGAGCAGCGTACGGAAACGCCGTTTTCCTTCCCGCTGGAGCGGTACCTATTTATCTACTTGCACTTTGACGTGCTTTTGAACTGCTAGGTTGGCAGGAGCAGGGACTGAGCAACGGGAGCTCACTCCGTCGTGGGGATTCAAACCGCCGACCTTCGGATCGGCAAGTCCTAGGCTCTGTGGTTTAACCTCATCCCTTATAGTGGGATACAGAAAGCTAATAATAATAATAATAATAATAATAATAATAATAATAATAAATTTATTATTTATACCCCACCCATCTGGCTGAGTTTCCCCAGCCGCTCTGGGCGGTTTACAGCATATCTAAACACATAATAAAAACATCAAGCATTAAAAACCTCCCGATACAGGGCTGTCTTCAGATGTCTTCTAAAAGCTGTGTAATTCTTTATCTCCTTGACATCTGAAGGGAGCGCGTTCCGCGAGGAGGGCGTCAATACCTAGAAGGCTGTCCTCTGCCTGGTTGCTAAAGCAATAGCTGTCACAAAAACACACGACAAAGCCATTAACACAAATTACTAACAGATGTAAACAATCCCTTCTCCTTCTGACACACCTTCCCACTCAATTCTTTTCTGCTTTCTGGCTCTCGCCCAGAGCTCCACCTGGGCTGTTGCCCTGGGCTCAAACAAACTCCCCCCCCCAAAAAAATGTCACAACAAAGAGGATTCCTGGAACCTGCTGGCAACATCCTAGACGTTTGCTCCAGGCTCGCTTTTATAGGCAGGCATGAATCAGGATTCACCATACAGAACCAGTTCCAGGCCATATCAGCTTTGGTTGGATGACTTTCCCAGGAGCTTCCAAAGGATGACAAGTGGGACGCCTCTCCACTCACAGTTCTTTCTCTGCCCTCTGCCGCCCCCTACCCTGCTCTTCTTCCAGCTGCTTGAAGAACACAAACCCCAGTTTGTGGGAGGTGGAGGAGGATGTAGCCATTGGATATTCACTAAACAAACCACACGACTAAGGGCTCATCCACAGTTGTCCTGTGCCTTGAAAGCATGTGTCCAAATGGTTTCCGCTCCTTTCCCAGGGAAAAAACCTGCTCTTTAGTGCTAAATTGGAGCAAACGTCCATCCAGAGAAAGCCCGGGTCGCTGTTTGCTCCGACTGAGCACTGAAGAGCGGCTTTCCCCAGGAGAAAGCAGCAGGGCAAGGAGAAGTATGGATAAGCTCTCTCTCTCTCTCTCTCTTCAAGCCTGATAAGGTTGTTGACTTGGTTCCCGATTCCAGCGAGACAAGCGCAGTATTTAAAGAATACGTCTGGACCGGGAGGCTGCATTCTTCAGTCTTAAAACCATTGGTTGCGGGGGAAATTGCCAGCCACTGAGCAGAGGGTGAAAGGGATTGTTGCAGGAATGGGAACCGAAGATCACCCAATGATTCCTTCTCCCCTCCATGCTTTTCATGCAGATTTCCGAAGACGCTGGGCACTGGCCTGGCTGATGGCTCTCCTGGGCTCCTGCTCTATCCTGCTCGTGCTGCTGCTCAAGAAAGAAGCACTGAAAGGTACAAGGCAGACTTTCTGTGGCTCCCAATGCGCTACCCACAACGGTTGCGTATCGCTTTTGATCTATCTCCTGTATTCCCCACAGTCATCCCAGCTTCTGCTTCACCCGCTGTGATATTATGAGCCTGCCTTACCTCTCCAACAGGGATGGATGAATCTTTTATCAGTTCCTCTCCAGCTCCTTGTTTTTCTAGTATTAATTCCCATGCACCATATTTCCACATCACAGAAATTCACCAGCATTGCCATGTGCATTTCTCCTACTGCACACATATTTGTATGTGGTTTGGCCTAAATATGTGTGATTGCAAGCCCTACTTGCCAGTGGGGTGTAGTGGTTAAGAGCGGTAGACTCGTAATCTGGTGAACCGGGTTTGCTTCCCCGCTCCTCCACATGCAGCTGCTGGGTGACCTTGGGCCAGTCACACTTCTCTGAAGTCTCTCAGCCCCACTCACCTCACAGAGTGTTTGTTGTGGGGGAGGAAGGGAAAGGAGAATGTTAGCCGCTTTCAGATTCCTTAAATGTAAAGGGACCCCTGACCATTAGGTCCAGTTGTGACCGACTCTGGGGTTGCGGCGCTCATCTCGCTTTATTGGCCGAGGGAGCCGGCATACAGCTTCTGGGTCATGTGGCCAGCATGACTAAGCCGCTTCTGGTGAACCAGAGCAGCACACAGAAACGCCGTTTACCTTCCTGCTGGAGCGGTACCTATTTATCTACTTGCACTTTGACGTGCTTTCAAACTGCTAGGTTGGCAGGAGCAGGGACCGAGCAACGGGAGCTCACCCCGTTGCGGGGATTCGAACCACCGACCTTCTGATCAGCAAGTCCTAGGCTCTGTGGACTCCTTAGGGTAGTGATAAAGTGGGATATCAAATCCAAACTCTTATTCTTCTCTGCTAGAATGCACCACAAAATTCAGAGAAGCGTGAGTTTTGAAGGATAGCAATCTTTTGGTTCTCATGCGAATGGAGCCAAATTTCTTCCCCATCCCTGATTTCTCCAACCTTCTAAGGCTGTGCCTTCTTCAGCACTTCCCTGCTGCCTTGCGATCAGCTGGGGGGAGAGCGCCCTCTTCTGACCCCTCCTGTAGCATAGCAGTGTCATTTACAGAAGAAAGCATTCAAAAGTGTTACAACCTAAGGGTGGTCTTATGCATTCTTACAGATTAAAATGCTACCAGTTCATGTAGCCCCTTCACTCTGTTCCTTTCTGTGGCGTGTCATGACTCAGAGGTGTTTTCTTTTCATGCATGCCTGTCCTCTTGATTGAAGAGCTCTCTCTGACATCTCTTTCCCCCCACAGGATGGCTCAGGATCCTGAAAGAAGATTACAGTTCTGGAGGTAGGACAACAAAGGGTCTCGTAGCATGTAAAGACTAGCAAATACAGTTTGGTGTCAGCTTTCATGGATTAGAGTCCACTTCGTCAGATGCACAAAGTGTTATTCTCAGCTGGTGTTATCACACATGGGTAGAGAAGGAAAGAAACGATAGTTCAAAGTGGTGTTGAACAGCAATTAAATGCGAAATACAACAATTCACATAGAGCAAAGTCAGCTCTTCACGAAAGCAGTGATAAGTGGTTGTGCAATTTGCTAAGTAAATTAATATTTGTAGTGGGAACAGGAGAGCATTGTCTCCACCCAAACATCGATAGGATTCCAGGAAGGAGCATGGTAGGGCCAGAGAGAGGAGAGTCCCGGGGGCCATAGATAAGAGTTCTGGAGGGCCGCATTCTCCCAATAGAAGAAGAGAGCGTTTGACGATTGCTTGAGAGTTAGGATGAGAAGTTTGGCCTTGGACATACTGAGGTTTGGAATGGCAAGGTGCACAAGTGGCTGGTCATTATCTACGGAACACCAAGCCGTGGACAAACGCCCTCTCTCTTTCTTCTCTGCCAGGAGCGCTTCGGGGACGGCACATCCTCGTTCTCTACTCTCCCGACCACACTGGCTTTGAGCGCCTGGTGGGCACCCTGGCTGGCGCACTGGCCCGGCTGCAGCTGACTGTATCCCTGGAGCTGTGGAGCCGCGGGGAGCTGAGATCCCTGGGGCCCATGCAGTGGCTCCATGCTCAGCGGCACCGGGTCCTGCAAGAAGGCGGAGCCGTTGTGCTGCTTTTTTCCCATGGCGCCAAAGCTGCTTGCTCGGAGTGGCTGGGTTGGGAGCATCAAGACAGGCTGCCGGCCGCCAAGCCCGACAGCACTTTCTTGGCCTCCCTGAACTGCATCCTGCCAGACTTCCTGGCTGGGAAATCCAGGGACCGGTATATGGTTGCCTGCTTTGAGGAGCTCTTCCCTGCAGACCAGATCCCTGCGCTTTTCCGTTCGGCGCCTGTCTACTCTCTGCCATCGCAGCTCTTCAACTTCCTGCTAGCGCTGGCTGGCCCCGGTGTGGGCCAGGAGAAGAGGAACAGCCTCAGGAGACACGCGGTGTGGATCAGCAAGAGTCTGGAGGATGCGGTGCGGGACTGCCGGGAAAAGGAGCCGAGCTGGCGTTATCCACCATTGCTGCCTCCCCAGTCTGACGACACATCAGCCAGCATTCGCCCTTCTGTAGAGTCCTGAGAGGGAAAGCTTTCAGAAGTTGGCTGCGTTGGGGGCCCTGTGTGGTTCCAGGAAGTTAAGCGGAATGCATGGACATGAAGGCTCCGTGTTGATCCATCACTGGCCAGCCTGCTCCCAGTAGCCGTGATGGCACAGGATAGCTGGACCATGTGAACGGATGTATTTGGGCACAGCAGTGAAGTGGATAGGTGTATCCCTGTGGAGTGCAAGATGTGTGTGTATTAGCTTGTTTGGAAAGATCCTGACATTTTGCTACCAAGTGTGCAACTACTGAATATTTACCATGCTTGCAAGAACGGAGGAATCCCATCTACACGGGCAGGGAGTAGTATACGACCAAGTACCGTATACGAAGGGCAACCAACATGGGTGCCTATTGCTTTCATGCTCTGGTTAGGAACCCATAGAGTAGGGGGAGCTGGGAGCCTCCAGATGTTGTTAGACTCCCATCTTCTCTGACCATTGGCCAATCTGGCTGGGGCTGATGGAAGTCAAAGTCTAACATTCCCCATTCTTGCTTGAGAGGCATCTGATTGGCTGGTTGCTTCTGGAAACAGAAGATTTTTTTATCTTTATTATTTATTAGATTTGTGTATCACCCTTCATCCCAGGGCGGTTCACAACAGAGAAATGCAAAATGAGAAAACAAAACGCAGATTTGGCTCCAAGCCCAATCCAGCATGACTTGTCCTTAAGATTCCTAACTGGACTTAGTGGTGAGATAGCTGCTGAGCTTCACTCAATGCGATGAGAAGGCTGATTTTTTAAAGTGGGAAGGTCTTTTTTAGGGAACGGCATCTAGAAAAACCCTAAGCTTTTCTCTAATCCCTACCAGTATGTGTTTTATCTGAGCCAAGGAATGGAACGCAAACATGTTAAGGCAAGACTTTCCACTGTAGGTTCTCAGTTGTGGGATATCTATTTAAACAATATTATCTTTTTTTTGGGGGGGGGAAGTATATTTCATTCTCTAGGGTAGCTTTCCTCAACCTGCTACCCTCCAGATGTTGGAGTCCAACTCCCATAATCCCTGACCACTGGCCATGCTGGCTGGAGCTGATGGGAGTTGTAGCCCATATAACATTACATTTGCAATTATTTTTGAAAGGCAATTGCATCAAAATACTGGACCACCTCTCTCCATATGAACCAATCCAGCCCCGGCAATTATAATCTGAGGCCCTTCTTTGGTCTGGAAGGTGGCAACACGAGAAGAGGCCTTTTCTGTGATGGCTCCTTGTTTGTGGAATGCTCTCCCCAGGGAGGTTTGCCTGGTGCCTTCACTACATATCTTTAGGCACCAGGCGAGAACATTTCTCTATAACCAGGCCTTGGGCTGATTAACAATCTATGACTTTTTAAATGTGTTGGTGAGAAGGTTTGCTTTTGTTTTAGTATGTATTTTGTGTTCTCATTTGTATTTTTCTGCTGTGAACCGCCCCAGGATCTTTGGATGAAAGGTGGCATACAAATTGAAATTCAAATACTACAATAATAGCCCCAAAATATATAACAGGCACCAAGCTGGGGCTTTGTCCTTTAGGAAACAGACCATGCTTGAACTGTGGGATTGTTTTTGTGATTGTTGTTGTTTTTTTTTGTTGTTGTTGTTTAAAAAAGCCACCTTGATCTTCTGAAAAATAGGTTGGATATCACTTTTTAAACTAAATAAATAAATGCCCTATCATCCATGTCTTCTTCCCCTTCTGGTCACACTTCTCTGAAGTCTCTCAGCCTCACTCACCTCACAGAGTGTTTGTTGTGGGGGAGGAAGAGAAAGGAGAATGTTAGCCGCTCTGAGACTCCTTTGGGTAGTGATAAAGCGGGATATCAAATCCAAACTTCTCCTCCTCCTCCTCCTCCTCCTCCTCCTCCTCCTCTTCTTCTTCTTCTTCTTCTTTTATCTTCCTCTGTTTCTTTTGAGCAGCTGCTGGCACAGTGAGCAAATTAATCACAAAGAAACATGCTATATGTTGTAGTCATAATTGCATACAAATATCTTTTTGACCTGCTTCCAAACTAGAGTGGAAGTAGCAGGCAGCTTCCGGGCTCAGGTTACTGGAAGGGCTACAGCATGAAAACTGGATCTTGCCAGTTCTTTTGGGGGGTGGCCGGCACTATGGGACTCTTCTGGGCTCCCCCACTTCTGGCATTGTTGAGTCGATAAACTGGTGATTTAATAATGCAGCTTCAGAGTTCTCTGTTCCCCAGAGCCCTGTCTAGCATCCCATCTGAACCTTGTCCAATTTGCATTGTTTCACACCCTGGTTAGGCCTTGCCTTGCTGCCCTGCAGAACACAACACCTGCTTGACAAGACAACAGGTCCACCTGGTTCAGTGTCCTCTTCCCCACAGTGGCTGACCGGGGGGTGCTTTCAGGTTGCATAATTATAGTTTACTGGGTGGCACAACAAACTCACTTCCCTAAAATATCCATCACCCTGTAACAAAGTGTTTTCCAGCACTGAAACTTAAATTCTGGTTTCACAAGGAAACTCATCTCCCCTCCATCCTGCCCTGCCCTGTCTATGTTTGCACAGTTGCAAGATTTGGCAATATCACAAAGCACTGTGAAATCCTTATTGGCTGTACAGTGGTACCTCGGGTTAAGTACTTAATTCATTCCGGAGGTCCGTTCTTAAGCTGAAACTGTTCTTAACCTGAAGCACCACTTTAGCTAATGGGGCCTCCTGCTGCCGCTGTGCCGCCGGAGCACAATTTCTGTTCTCATCCAAAGCAAAGTTCTTAACCCAAGGTACTATTTCTGGGTTAGCGGAGTCTGTAACCTGAAGCGTATGTAACCCGAGGTACCACTGTATTTCTGGGTGAGCGGAGTCTGTAACCTGAAGCGTATGTAACCTGAAGCATATGTAACCCGAGGTACCACTGTATATAAAATATTATAGAAACACCTGTCATTAAACGCAGCAAATGTCTATTGGGGAATGTGTTTAGGGGAATTCCCCATTGTTCTTAGGGGCTCAAAATACTAAGGCTGCATACACTGTGCCTGTGCCCCCCAAAACCCAGGAACCTTAATATACCCCTCATGGTGCTACAATTCCCAGCACCTTTAAGCTACCCTTACCAGGATTCTCTGGGGTGGGGAAATATGCTTTCAATGTATGGTGTGCACGAAGTCACGGGTTTTGTCAGAAAACTCGTCTCCCCGCACCTCCGCCACGGATATCCCGTCCGTCCGTTTGTCAGACATTTCACGCCTGAGGTTAGACGGAGGATGGGATCTGGTCTCGCCCAGGACCGCCTGAGATCTGCTTTGGAAAAACAACAACTGGGCCACGCTGCGCAGCAGCAGCACCTTCCCTTGCTTGTTGCTATTCTGCTGCAGAGGCGCAGCGCTCAGCCGTTTGCAGCCCAGCCTCTCTCGCCCCTCCTCGAAGCCGCATCCTGGGCCCGAGCTGCGCCTTTACGCGCCCTGACAGGTGCTGCTCCGCGGGGCGGCGGGGACGGAGCTCGCCGATTGGCAACTCGCGAGGAGATCGGGATGATGTAACCGCACATGTCCCGATGCCATTGGCGGAGAGGCGGTCCCGGCCAGCTGACCGAGGTCCATTGGGCAGGCGGAGGGGTACTTCCCCGCTCCTAGCCTCGCTTGCTGCAAGCAGCCCCGTGCGCAAAAGTGGGCGCTGCTCCCCGCCGGCCTCGCCCCTGCCGGCCCGCGCAGGCTCTCCGGAAGGGCGAGCGGGGGCGAGGGAAGGTAGGTAGGTGCCCCGGACGCGGGTGGGGGAAGATCGGAACAAACAGGTCCTTCCCCCCGCGGGGAGTGGAGAATGGGTGGGCATCGCGCGCTTCCCCCACCCTCCGGTCCGTCTGCAGCCTCTCCTCTTCGCCATAGGGCGCACCGTCGCCTCCAGGAGAGGTCAGAGCCACCGTCTCTCTCTCTCTCTCCAAGGCCTTCGTGGGTGGGTCCGGGCCACAGGCCTAGCCAGGGTCCCATGCTGCTCCCTCCATAAATCGCGATCCCCGGTTAGATGCGGCCGGTGCTTGTTTTTGCAAATAAATCCCATTTATTGCGGACTTGCTCCCCAGCAAGCGCGCGACGGATTGCCCTGGGTGCAGAAGCGCCGCACGCGATGAACGGCAGGATTTTGCTAAATTCAAACCAGGCGTTGGGCAGTCAGGATGGCGGAAATCGGGTGCCAGGGGTGCCAACTTGGAAAAATAAATAAATTGTGGGGGGCCAAGTAAGCCCCGACCATCATAATCGATCACATGACACAGTACACAGACACCCACCCATCCACCATTTGAATGGGAATGCCCACCAACTTTGTGGGGGGCCCGGCCCCTAGGAGTTGGCTCCTATGTCGGCTGAGTGGCTGCTCTAACTCGCCTCAATAAACGGCGAAGCCTAGCGGGTTATGGTTTTCATTCTGCATAAATTAATCCCAAATAATGGTTGTGCAGTGTGAGGATTAGCGCAAGATGCAAGATTGAGTTCACTCTTAATAGGTGGCGCCACCCAGGATCTATGGGTCTCCAGACGGGGGCTGGTTTCTCCATCAAATGTGGTCTGGGCACTCCTGGGTTTTCCCTTCTGTTCTATAGCAATGTGATGCCCTCCAGTTGCGGCTAGACTACATCTCCCATCATCCTTCACCATTAGCCATGCCAGCCTATTTGTTTGTTGTATACCCCAGGAGGTAGGTTAGGTTGAGAGTGAGTGACTGGCCCAAGGTCACCCAGTGAGCTTCATGGCCAAGTGGAGATTTGAATCCTGGTCTCCCAGGTCCTAGTCTTAACCAGGACACCTCTCTGACTCATGGGAACTGTAGTCCCAACAGCATACAGAGGGCACCACGTTGATTACCCCTGCTCTATAGATAGGAAGTTGATGGGCAGAGGCTCAAAGGCTTCTGTATGTGGGTGTGATTTAAAACGCCATGTGAATTGGTTCTTTTATTTCAGGCTTCCTCAAACTTGGCTCTCCAGATGTTTTGAGACTACAATTCCCATCATCCCTGACCACTGGTCCTGCTAGGGATCATGGGGAGTTGTAGGCCAAAAACATCTGGAGGGCCGAGTTTTGTATGCTAATAAATGTATAGTTATGCAGAACTACCTGCCCTGGGACCTTAGGGTGGGTAAATAATAATAATAATAATAATAATAATAATAAATTTCTGTCTTCCCTAAGAGGGCTTGAGATGATGCACATGTAGCAAGGGATAACAAAACTCCTGATCTAGCTCCCGCCGCAGGAATGCTCAGATTCCCAAAAAACAGGGTTGAAGCACAATCCACAGATTTGCTCCTTGTTATTAGCCTGGAATTCAAATGATGCTTGGGGAGAAGCAGTTCACAGTGGCCTGTTGCCCAGGATTTATTTCATTTAGAAAATCTTTACTATTGATCACCATCTGAGGCTCCTTTTCATGTGCCTGGAGGGTGGCAACACGAGAACAGGCCTTTTCAGTGGTGGCTCCCTGATTGCAGAATGGTCTCCCCAGCGTGGTTCTGGCACCTTCATTACATAGCGCCAGCTGCCAGGTAAAAAAAAATTCATTTTTTGCCAGGCTCTTAATCTTATCTGTGGCCACCTAAAATAGGATTGTCTTTTTTATTTTTCTCCCATTTTCCCTTTTATGCCAGTTTCAATGTATGTAATTGTTTGATTATTTATTGTGAGTCGCTTTGAGTTACAGTGGTGCCTCGCAAGACGAAATTAATCCGTTCCGCAAGAGTCTTCGTCTAGCGGTTTTTTCGTCTTGCGAAGCAAGCCCATTGACGGATTAGCGCTATTAGCGCTATCAGCTGTTTAGCGGCTATTAAAGGCTTTAAGGCTTGGGGATTAGCTGCTAAAAGGCTATTAAACGCTATTAAAGGCTTAGCAGATTAGATAAAGGGGGAAAAGCGAAAAAAATCTCAGGACTCGCAAGGTATTTTCGTCTTGCGAAGCAAGCCCATAGGGGAATTCGTCCTGCGAAGCAACTTCAAAACGGAAAACCCTTTCGTCTAGCGGTTTTTCCGTCTTGCGAGGCATTCGTCTTGCGGGGCACCACTGTACCTTGGTTTTAAAAAAGGGACCAATAAATTTAATAAATAAAAATAAATGTAGATCGGACCATTTGTTCCTCTAAGAGCATCAGGTTCTGTACCCTGAAACTCCCTGAGGTAAAAATGTTCAGCCCCCTGGCCAGAGTAAGGCTCTTGAAAGCAGATAAAATGTTATTTCGTGATTTCAAGCCTACATATGTTTTGGATTCCAACTTCCACCAGTCCAGGCTTCATGGCCAGCTGTCAGGGTAGATGAGATTTGGAGTCCAAGCGCACGTGGAGAGCATCATATTGGGAAAGGCCTAACCCTGATTCTTCTCTCCTGCCCAGAGCAATTTAACAATGAAGGACCATTGTCCTCCATATGCACCACAAGTGCACCTGGGCCCACTATTTTGTATCTCGTTCCAATTCATAGAAATCATAGAATTGTAGAGTTGGGACCCTAAGCACCATCTAGTCCAACCCCTTGCAGTGCAGGGAAATGCAGCTGTCCTATTCGAACCTGCAACCTTCGCATTTTCAGCACCATGCTTTAACCAACTGTTGACATCGTAAGGGCTGTAATGAATGAAGTTAGCAGTGCCCATTAACTTCAGTGGCTGTATTCCGAGTTGGCATAGCATGGAATGCCATAATTCCAGGCGGCGGGGAGTAGATCCCGCAAGCCTGTAGCTTGCCAATTTTATGTATCCTGAGCTCTAGGCTGGGATCTACCAGTGCTGCAGAGGGAGATAATCACATCCTCCTCCTCCTGGCTTTATTTAGCGGTGAGAACACTTTGACAGCTACGAGGACCTGTTTCAGGCCTTTATTTTTAGGCAGAGATTCCTTCGCTCGCATCCTGGAAACGGCTTCGGAAGCTGGCGTCAGGCCCCGGGATCTGAATTTGCAATATCCGGTGCTGGCTGGGGGCCTGCTCTCTTCTGCAACAGCTAGCCTGGAGAGGCACTTTTTCCTCACTACACAACATGCCTGCTCAGCTTGCGAGATGGCAAGATGGCAGCCACGTACGGTGGTCTTCCTGGTGCTTGACAGCCCCTCTTCTCCCCTCCCAGCCCCCAATTGTGAAGGCCTCTCAGACAGGTGGCAAAGACAGGTTTCTGTAACTAGCGGACCGCGCTGGCTGCTACAGAGAAAGGCCTAGCCAGGCAGCCCAGATGCATTGTGGGCCATTCGGCAAGGTTTCTGAGTCGTAACTTAGTTTCTGGGTAGGCCTCAACCCATAAAATCCTAAGAGTTGGAGGGGATCTAGTGGCTCGTCTTGTCCAGGCCCAATGAAGAGGATCCAAAGCTAGGGCACCCCAACCTCTAGCTGAAGGCTTCCAGGAAGCAAGAGCCAGCAAGCAATCCATCTAATGGCATGCACGCCATTCATTTAAAGCAGATAACTTCATGAGCGTAGCCAGGATTAATGGTGGGAGGGGAGGCTTTATGTTGGGGGAGGTAGAACCTCAGTTAAGTATTTTTATGCATGACTTTCCCCCTAGAGCCCTGGGAACTGTTTACCCCCCTCGTGGCACTACGGTTCCCAGCGCCCTTAAACTACAATTCCCAGGATTCTTGGGAGGATATCAGGTGCTTTAAATGTATGGTGCTTTTGCAGCCTGACTCCATCGCTGAAGAAAAAGCAACGAGTGTTCAGTGTTACTAATTCACTGCAGCGGATAAATATTGAAAAAGAAATTAAAAAATCAGAATAATCACCTTCTATCTCAGGAGGGTGTGTGTGTGGAGATTTCACTGGCACTGCCGGTGCGATTTGCAAGCTTTTCCAACAGGACCACCCACTTGAAGGCTCCTCCTCCTTTCTTCCAGCCTGGTCCCTGCCCTCCTGAAGATGGCTTTGCCCTGGAAGAAGATGGCGTCTGCTTGGCTCCCGCTTCTCTTGCTGCTCCTCGGGGTTCCAAGCGGGAGCCCTTCGCAGCAAGAGCCCTGCCAGACGTGCCGCGACCTGGCCAGCAACTTCAATAAGGTGGGAGGCTTGAAAGAGCCTTTTGGCTTGGGCTGGGGTGTGTGACTGCTCTTGCACAAAGTAGGGACTTGCAAGCATTTTGAGATGGGATGCCACACAGTCTCCAGCCTAGCCCCTGAGCTCCTGTCTCCAGGGAGGGCTAGGACTGGAGCAAGAGAAAGACAGACAGACAGAGATAGGGGGTGGGGGGATAAGCAGAGGGGCTTCGTGAGCCTGTGTTTTAAAAATCGAGGATGTGTGGGTTGCTGCATGCAGGTTGTGGGGTGAAAGGGTTGCTGCGCTCAGGGTTGCTGGGGGAAGGGGAGGCAAAAAAATTAGTTTTGGGATTGCTGTGAGCCTTCTCCTGCCTTCTCAGGGTCTGGAGCGGACACAGCGAGAGAACTTCGGGGGCGGGAACACGGCCTGGGAAGAAGAGAAGCTTGCAAAATATGCAAACAGGTGACCTGAGGTCTGGGTTGGGCCAGGCCGTTGGTGAGATGCTGCTGCCTTGATGGGAGGGGTGGGGTGGGGATGGCAAACCTTCACTAATAATCCTGATCACGAAAGAGCTCAGAAAAATCCGCACGGCCAAGATGGCGCCGTTAAATGTAGTCTGCGACCTCTGCTGCAGAATTAAGGGGAGGACGAAAAGCTCCGGCTGAAGCTGGCGCTCTAGATTGTTAAAAGCAAGTTACTAGCCCTCAGGATTAAAGAAGGAAATGTTGTCAGCCCTGACAAACATCTTGCCTGTTTATTCCACGATAGCGCAGCTGTCGCCCACGAGCTCCCCAGGGTGGCTTGTCGGCCATATTGCCACCTCCTGACTTTACTCAGGGGGCAAAAGGGAACTCCTTAGGGACTGGCTGCTTGAGCAGAGTAAACGCAAGCTCTCCTGGTGGAGTTTTGAGAGGAAGATAGGGCCAGCCGGGCTTTGCTGGTCGAAAGAGGGACAGAGGTTTACAAATGGTTGATTGGGCAGTAGACTGGTTAGCAGGGGAAGCAGAGAGGGCAGCCTTTGTAACGCTGGTGGAGGGACTGCTTTGGTTTTCCCAGCTGCCTTGATGTTCACCCGGTCTCTTTCCCTCCTTTCAGTGAGACCCGCCTGCTGGAAGTCTTGGAGGGTGTGTGCGCCACATCAGACTTTGCGTGCCACCAGCTGTTGGAGCAGGGAGAAGACCACGTGGAGCATTGGTGGTTCCATGAGTGAGTGGGAAAGAGCAAGAGTTTCCATCATGGAATGTTTCCTTACACATCCCAGGACCTGCGTCTGGTTCCATGCTCAGTATGTTTGTAGCTATAGGCCAGGGATGGGGAATGTGTGGCCCTCCAGGTGTGGTTGAACTACAGCTCCCATCATCCCTCCCTGCTGTCTGGGCCTGATGGGAGTTGGAGTCCAGCAACAACAGGAGGGCCACAGGTGTCTCTATCCTTGCCTGATAGAACATCTCTTCTGAGGGGCCTTCCCTGCCTAATTCTGACTGCTCCATTCTCGGACGCAGTGAAAGAGCTGTCCAGGGCCTGTGGTATAAATAAGTCCCAGCATGGGACCAGGGCAGTAACAGAGGCTCTCTTTTCCCCAGGCAGCGACAGCACCCTGACTTTTTCCAGTGGCTCTGCATGGATGCACTGAAACTCTGCTGCCCTCCCGGCACTTACGGCCCTGACTGCCACAGTAAGTGGTGCTGTGTGGATTCCTGTGTTGTTGCGATGATGGGTGCTCAGTGTCATGTACTTCAAACTCACTCTGATACCACTTTTGCAGTCATTTACAATTAGTCTTTTCACAGCCCTGGGAACTGTAGTTTGGTTCACGTGCTGGCATCACAGAGCTATGACTCCCAGCACCCTTAACAAACTACATTTCCTAGGATTCTCCGTCAAGTGGTGTAACAGCGTTTTCAATGTATGGAGTAGATATGACCTCTGAGTTTATATGCTGGATGCGTCAGTTCCCTGTTGGGGGTCAGTCAAAGACACTCGTTTGAGCTGTGGGATATTTTTTTGGCTGGTTTGCTGGGAGTGGCTTTCCAAATTAGCCCTCCATAGCCAAAGAGGACTTGTCCTGAGGTACTTTATTGTGAAAGACTGATGGATGGTAAAGGGGGGGAGTCTTGTTTTTCCTAAAAAGCTAGGTCAGTGGTGGCGAACCTATGGCAACGCGTGCCAGAGAATGCACTCAGTGTTAGGAGCTCACCCTCGAGTAGGACCCTGGTAGAGACACATGTCCGACTGGCATGTTCTCTCCCTCTTGGTCGTTCGTTCGGGAGCTTCAAAAGCTTTCTTCAGCCCGAACATCACAGCGACCGATGCCAACAGATATCGGCACACTTAGGGATCCGCAGAGTCTTCGCAGCCTGCGTGACAGACCTCAGCAACTCAGCATTTTGGCTAATCTACTTTATTTACATACAAACACACACGGAGCACTGCAACATGGCTTCCTCTCTCTCTAGCATCAGACAGCAAAGACAAAAAACAAAGGACAACATTCCCACTTCACGGAACACAGTAACACAAACATCCTGTCTCCGTCACTTCCCACTTTGTGGAGTCAAAACATATACCATCATGTGATAGACAACAATCCCATGACCACAATCGCGGAGCAGGAATTCTAACACTCAGAACCCTCTCTGTGGGCACATGCCGTCGCCCCAGCAGGGCCATAGCTTCTGTGCTGGGGGTGGGGGTGGGAGAGGAGGAGGAGGAGGGCTTGCGCACATCCAAAGCCTGCAGCCCTGGTACCGTAGTGAGCAGACCTGCTCCACTTCTCAGAGATTCCCCCTCCACTCCTGCTTGCAGGCAAGTAGGAGTGGGATCGGGCTGCTCCACTAGGCAGCATTGCTGCTTGCACGGGAACAGGAGCTGGATCAGGGCTGCTCAGCTGGGGAGGTGCAGGCTCTATCACACTTTCTGTTGAGGGGTTCATGGCTGCAGTCCCCTCAAGGGAGAAGTTTAAAGGAGCCCCCACCTCCTCATCAGATCCCCTGCAACCCCGTGAAGGCAGCCAGGCTGAATAGGTGCTGGGGTTGGGGAAGGTGGAAGCAGCCTGGAAGCTGCATCTGAGAGTCCCTGCACCACCTGAAGGCAGCCAGGCGCTCCATGCCTGCTTGCACGCAAGTAGGAGCAGGATCGGGCAGCTCAGCTGAGTTATGCCATAAAATTATATATCAATGGAAATATAATTTAATGAAGAATGTAGTGCAACAACTTTTTTGAAGGATTATTTATTACAACAGAAGAAGAAACGTGGAACACACAGGAAAAATGAAATATACAGGTTAAATTGCCGTCTTGGCACTTTGCGATAAATAAGTGGGTTTTGGGGGTTGCAGTTTGGGCACTCTGTCTCTAAAAGGTTCGCCATCTTTGAACTAGGTGCATTTAGGATTATCAGCCCCCCGGAAAGTGTGGCTGGTTGATGGAATCCAGCGATTGTTAATCATGTTGTCCACGTCTTGGGACTGAGGGATAGCTCTGTTGGTAGAGCACGAGACTCTTAATCTCAGGGCTGTAGGTTCAAGCCCCACATTGGGTAAGAGATTCCTGCACCGTAGGGGATTGTACTAGGTGACCCTCATGGTCCCTTCTGACTCTAGAGTTCCAAGATTCTAAGGGAAGTTGGCCAAATTGAAGTGGTGGAGTATGTGGGCAGCTGGGGTCTTTGAACAGAGACAGATACAGAATTGTTACCGTTCCAGAGTAAATGCGTATGGAATGGGGTCATGTGTTGAATCAGGCAGTCTGCGCATTGCCATTTAAGGTCTGCTGAACCCCAGCATTTACTCACATCTCTCCACAGCCTGCCCTGGGGGTGCCCAGAAGCCTTGCAGCGGGTATGGGCAGTGTGACGGTGATGGCACACGCAGGGGCACCGGCCTGTGCATGTGCCAGACGGGTTACGGTGGCCCCTTCTGTTCCGAATGTGGAGATGGCTACTACGAAGCTTCTCGCAACGACAGCCACCTGGTATGTGCGGGTATGTAGAGGGCCCATGCTTTGCTAGACTGGGGGCAGGGTCTGGAGATGTAAGCTCTGCTGCCTGTGCTGGCTAGTGCTGGTTAGTGACTTCCCTTCCTGCCACCCCCTTCCTTTCTTGTTTCCCTTGAATACTCACAACCACACTGTTCCTGAGCTTCCCCCTCTCTGTGGTGGAATGGGGTTCCGAAAATCTCCACAATATTCCGTTAAATAAAACGCACAAACCTCATTGTAGCCATCTATCAGGGACGGGGGTGGTGCTGTGGGTTAAACCACAGAGCCTAGGACTTGCCAATCAGAAGGTCTGCGGTTCGAATCCCCGCGACGGGGTGAGCTCCCGCTGCTCAGTCCCTGCTCCTGCCAACCTAGCAGTTTGAAAGCACGTCAGAGTGCAAGTAGATAAATAGGTACCGCTCCGGTGGGAAGGTAAACGGCGTTTCCGTGTGCTGCTCTGGTTCGCCAGAAGCGGCTTAGTCACGCTGGCCACATGACCAGCTCCCTCGGCCAATAAAGCGAGATGAGCGCCGCAACCCCAGAGTCGGTCACTACTGGACCTAATGGTCAGGGGTCCCTTTACCTTTTTTATCCATCTATCTCTTATATAAGCTGGTGTACCCATTCCCCTGGCATCCCTAGGCATGCACTCATACTCTAAATAAGACAATCTAATCATATGTTGCACTATATCATTATTTATTAAATATGTATGACACCCTACATCCGTAGATCTCAGGGCTGTTCACAGCATACAGCGTAATAATAGTTATATTTATTGCTTAGCGTCACTCCTAGCACGTATTACTAAAAGAATGTTTAGGAACACAGGAGTCTGCTTCATTCCAGGTCAGACTGTCTGTTTATCTAGCCCAGGGATAGCCAACGTGGCATCCTCCAGATGTTGCCGAACTACAACTCCCATCAGCCTCAGCCAGCAACAATCAGTAGTCAAGAATGATGGGAGTTGTAGTCCAACATCTGGAGTCCTGTCTAATCTGTCTGGCAGTGACTCTCCAGAGTTTGAGGCAGAGAGGGATCTTTCCCCCATTTGATCTTTTTCGGTGAATGAGCCAGATGTTAATCCTGAGCCCTCCTAGTTGCTCTGCCTCTGAGCCCTTGAGGTTGGGGCTGAACCCTTGTTACCACCCTACCACCTGGCCTCCTTGAGCCCTGTTTCTTAAAACTGGTTTTAATCGTCTAAACACTGGCCCTGTCTGTAGGTACGGTCACCACAGCTGATCACTCTTACCAATGGAATATTTTCAACCTGGGCTGAATTAAGCGAAACACATAGCGAGCTGCCTTTATACAAAGTCAGACCAATGGACCATGTGCCTCAGTATTGTCTACACTGGCTGGCAGCTCTCTGAGGTTGCAGGTAGAGAACCATGCCTGCGATGGAATCTGGGGCCTTCTGCATCCTAGTTAGATGGCTTTACCACTCAGCTACTGCCCTTGAAAGCGGAAGTGTCACAGACATGATTTTATGTTCCTCACCACTGTATCGGGTTGAGTGGTGCCTGTGTTTCCTGTTTACCTCCTCCTCTTCCTCCTTCCCTTATCATCTTAGGCCTGAGGGTGTTGAAATGCTGCGTAGGCCCCCTATGCTGGGGAGTAATGTCTCCCTTCCTTACGCATCCCTCCCTCCCTTCCGTAGTTCGTATCAGTCCTTCGTAAGCTATTACTCTAGCCTTGGCTTGGAAAGATGGGGAGCTTTTTGCTCTTCCCCCCTACACACTAGGCTCTCTTCCCCTCTCTAGAGTGCTACCGGGCCTGCGGACGCTGTTCAGGCCCCGAAGATTCAAGCTGCCTTCGCTGCAAGAGGGGCTGGATGCTTCATGACCGAAGGTGCATTGGTGAGTTTGTGGGACTAGGCTGGAAAGAATCCATGGTTGCTTAGCAACCAGTGAAAAAGGATTTGAGGTGCTGTGTATTTTGGATATAGGTACATTGCAGGGACGCGGGTGGCGCTGTGGGTTAAACCACAGAGCCTAGGACTTGCCGATCGGAAGGTCGGCAGTTCGAATCCCTGCGACGGGGTGAGCTCCCATTGCTCGGTCCCTGCTCCTGCCAACCTAGCAGTTCAAAAGCACATCAAACTGCAAGTAGATAAATAGGTACCACTCCAGCGGGAAGGTAAACAGCATTTCCAAGCCAGTAAAGCAAGATGATCGCCGCAACTCCAGAGTCGGCCACGACTGGACCTAACGGTCAGGGGTCCCTTTACCTTTACCTTTACCTTGCAGGGTGGTGCTGATTATTGGGGGGGGGGCAAAGGAAGATGATTCCCACATGGGGTTCTGCGTGACCCCTGGGTTGATAGATCTCTCTTTGTCCCACACAGACATAGATGAATGTGGCACAGACATGGCGCACTGCCGGGCCAACCAGTTTTGCGTCAACACCGAGGGGTCCTACGAGTGCCGAGGTAAGAGCCCCCGAGCCTTAAAAGTGTGCTGCCCTTAGGCAAGTGACTCGGCTCTGCAGAACAATTTATAGCACTGTACCCTGTCCCTCCACCGCAACCCCCTTCCTGGACAAAATAAAAAATACATGCCATGTTGGACCGATCACTCTTTTGCTGGGGTGGAAGAGGAGGAGAAACATAAGCAGCAAGGGCTTGAGAACAAAGCCCATTTGGAAACCTTCATTCGTCACAGGAGACAATGTCATCTTTCACCACAGAACTTTTAGCGTTCCTTGTCTGCATCCAGTTTCCAGACCTGCCTCTTAATCCTGCCTTTCCCTTTCTGTTCAGATTGTGCCAAGGCCTGCATTGGCTGCATGGGTGCAGGGCCTTCCCGCTGCAAGAAATGCAACAAGGGTTATCGGCGCGATGGTGTCAAGTGCCTTGGTAAGCGCTCTCAAGCAGTTATCTCGCAGCTAACCCTTCCCTGCGTGACAAAGCTAGTAGACAAAGCTCTGCCTTTTGTTTGGCCTATCAATGAAGCATCATTTAAGGCTGCTGTTCTATTCCTGCCAGTCATCTGACTGTCCGTTGTTGCTGTAACTTTGGGAGCTTCTCTGTGCCTCTCCCCCCCCCCCCAATTTTCTGTTTCCTTTCTGGAATCTTGGGTCCCTTTTATCGCTGTGCATCTTTCAGCAATCAGTTTCTTCGTACACTTAGGAACTCGCTGGCTAGTGATGCCAGGCAGGCACCCGCTTAAAACATTTCTGTTCAGGGAAGCAGATCTAGACACATGGATGTGAATGTGCTGTAATCTTATTTATTTATTTTGTTTTACTGTTATTTATTATATTTGTATACTCGTAGATGTCAGGGTGGTTCACTACATAAAATTACAATATAAAAAACACAAAATACAGTGGTACCTCAGCTTACATATGCTTCAAGTTACATACGCTTCAGGTTACAGACTCCGCTAACCCAGGAATAGTGCTTCAGGTTAAGAACTTTGCTTCAGGATGAAAACAGAAATTGTGCTCCGGCGGCATGGCAGCAGCAGGAGGCCCCATTAGCTAAAGTGGTGCTTCAGGTTAAGAACAGTTTCAGGTTAAGTACTGACCTCCGGAACGAATTAAGTACCACTGTACATAATAAAGGTACCACTGTACATAATAAAAATAAAAGCAAAGATGACCCAATAATCCCCCCCTTCCACATTTAAAAGGGCATTGAATGTCAGTCAGCGAAAGACCTGGTTGTTTTTGTCTAAATTAATGACGGCGCCAGCCAAATCTCCCTGGGGAGAGCATTCCACAAATGGGGAGCCTGCAGAAAAGGCCCATTTACTCTTAATTTTCTTTTACTCCTTTAATTTTCATTATTTTAAATGTATTTATTTTTAATTGATGATTTTTATTGTTTCTTGGGAAAGCACTGGAAGGTTTTGCTGCAGTCAAGCGATAGAATGCTCTCTGTCTGTATATAAGGTGGGAGGGTTGGGGCCTAGAAAGGTTATTCCACCCTCTGTGGGGAAATGGTTCCTAACCACCTAGTGTGACTCCCATGCTCCCTTCTCCCAGATGTGGATGAATGTGCTGGGGACATGGAAGAACCCGTATGCACAGGCGCCAACGAGGCCTGTGAGAACACGGACGGCAGCTACCGGTGTGTCTGCGCAGAGGGACATGTTCGCAAGGAGGGGATCTGTGTGGAAGACAAACCCCCAGGTAAACCTCAGCAGCAGCAGCAGCATCGCTCTTTACAGCACATGTTCTCTAGCTGGGGAATTGGAGGAGGCAATGATGCCCTGTGGGGGTCAGTCTCTAGGGCTTGCCTTCTACCCCGGAAGCAGTTTTGTCGGCCATTTTGTAGGTTGCTGCGAACCAGTGTTTGGTTTGTCCAGAAGATGACTTTTGCCTAACAAACCAAGTCTCTCATGAGTGGTCTGGCTCCACAGAAAAGTTAACGCTACCTATCAGACAAGGCTTCCTTCTTACAGAGACAGGTACTCAAGATACAGCATTACATGCAAATAAAAACACTTTAATACGAGTTTTCAGAACGATGGCGAGAGTCTGCTTCACAAGTGAGGAGGGCCAGGCCAGCTGGTGCCATCAGCTCCTGAAGTTTGCCTGAGGATATTTTTGTCGCATTGCTTATTCTAATATTTTAAATCGCGCACTGCCTTTACAGAAAGGCGGCACATAATGACTGCAATTAGTAATAAATAAACCGCCTGTTGTAGCAAAACCATCGAAGAGGCCAGCACATTTATTATGCCATGAGTCATAGGGCTGTGGCCATGAAGACTTGCGACATGATAAATTTGTTAGTTCTTTCAGTCTCTCTTAAAAGGTAAAAATAAAGGGATCCCAGACCATTAGGTCCAGTCGTGACCGACTCTGGGGTTGCGGTGCTCATCTCGCTTTATTGGCCAAGAGAGCTGGCGTACAGCTTCCGGGTCATGTGGCCAGCATGACTAAGCCGCTTCTGGCGAACCAGAGCCGTGCACGGAAACGCTGTTTACCTTCCCGCCGGAGCGGTACCTATTTATCTACTTGCACTTTGACGTGCTTTTGAACTGCTAGGTTGGCAGGAGCAGGGACCAAGCAACAGGAGCTCACCCCATCGCGGAGATTCGAACCGCCGACTTTCTGATTGGCAAGTCCTAGGCTCTGTGGTTTAACCCACAACGCCACCCGCGTCCCCTCAGTCTCTTTTGTTTCTATTTAATGCTAAGTGCGGAGGTAAAATGCAAAATCAGAACCAAGTTGTAGCTTTCATTAAAACTTGGTGCAGCCACTAGGAGGCTCTAAGTGACAAAAGCTGTCGGTTTCCCTTTTCTTACGACTTGGTTCCTTCTCCCACAGATGCTCCCGAGAAAGGATTCTTTGACGACATCACGGACGACGAGGTGGTTGTGCTGCAACAGATGTTCTTCGGTGCCATCATCTGCGCGCTGGCCACCCTAGCTGCGAAAGGAGACATGGTCTTCACCGCCATTTTCATTGGTGCCGTGGCCGCTATGGCCGGCTACTGGCTGTCTGAGCGCAGTGACCGCGTGCTGGACGGCTTTATCAAAGGCAGATAGTGCACGGGCCGCGTGAACGTCCCCTTCTGCGTCCGGCCTCAGAGAGCCAGCTGGTGGGCAGGAATCCCTTGACCTCACCCCTTTAAAAATCCAGATTCAAGAGGCAGAAAGGCCAGGCCATATCCCACTCTGGGCTGTTGGTGGCCTTGGCCTAGCATGCTATGAAGGTAGAAAGGGGACGCAAGATGAAATGAGCTCTGCAGTCCCAGTTTGGCTTGAGAGGAGGGCTGTTGGCTTCAGATGGAGGGGGGGAAGTACCCCTTAATGGTGCAAGAGGACTGATCTGGGTCACCATCAGTGGGGCCTGAAAAACAGGTCCCCGTTACTCTCTGACTGGCCTGGCCCTCACTGCATGTGGGATGATCTCAAATGTGTTCCTACCTGTGAATTCCAGTCTCCCCCACACTGGTCAACTCAGATGGACCAGGAGAAAGGTTGTCTCACTGTGGAAAGAAACACAGGGTGGGTGAGCTTGGAATTGCTCCCTGCTGGCTCTTGGAGGGGCTGCCTCTATGGCTGGGAGCCGTTCTACACGTTAACGCTGGAGGAAATGGCAAAAACGGAGGCAGTACCATTCTGGATGGTTAGCACTTTGAATGCTTCTCCCGCCTAAAAAAAAATCTCCCTGCATTCAATGAGCCAGCACCATCATTGAGAATCATAGCTGTCAACTTTTCCCTTTTTTAAAGGGAAATTCCCTTATACTGAATAGGATTCATTGCAAGACAAGGGAAAAGTTGACAGCTATGGTGAGAATGGTTTAAGGCATGGCTAGGGAACCTGGTCTCCTAGTTATTGGTGAACCCCCATCATTCCTGATCACACTGTACTGGCTGGGGTTGATGGGTGTCCCACAATATCTGGAGGACCACATGTTCCCTATCTCTGATTTAGGGCATAACCTTCTCCCTGATAGGCTAGCTTACTTAATGCAGGGAGTTTTATTGGGAGGGAGCATTCAAAGGTAAGGTCCCACTCACCCCTGCCGTCTGAAGTGGTACAGTCCAGAATTCTGTTTTCCCTGCCAGTCTCTCCTTGCCTCCTTCTGCATAATGTGTGAAACAGCTCCAGTGCTATCAAGGGGCAGCGTGTGAGGCAGAGGAAAGCCTGATTGGCACGCATGCCCATCCTTGCCCCGTTACATCTGCCCACTCAACCATTTGTCCGTCCACATCTCAGGAAATTAAAGGTCTCTCTGTCCACATCCCACGTGGTTCTGGCTATCTCTCTCCTGCGCTAATTCCAATTCTAGTGCAGGGTGTGTGTCAAAGCTTGGGACGAGGCCTGCGATCTCAGCCACTCTTAGATTTAAGGCACTTGTTCTAAAAATAAAACACGGAAAATCTCACCGATTACTTCGCACACACATGACACACAAACAACTGCATACTCTTGGAAGCGGCTCTCAGAATATCCTCTTCTTCCTCCCTTCGCTGCCCCCCCCCCGCAAACTCCTTGTGAGTGTCCTCTCATGTTGTGCAGATAAACTCCTGGCATTTCCAGCAGGGTCAAAACAGGGTGACAAGGGAATATTTCCCTCTGCAGGCCTTTGGAGAGCTCAACACTTCTTGTGCTTGTCAGAGGAGGCCCTTCTCTGTGTTCCACATTTTGGAGAAGTACGTAGGGTTGCCATATTCCCAAAAGTGAAAATCCAAAAGTTGTTGGATGGTGGGGTTTTTTGGTCAATGTTGTTGTCCCTCCCAAAAATACATTTTTTGGATTTTTAAAGCATTTATTTTATTTTATTATGTTATATTTTTTCCCAATTTTCAATAATTTAACAATTTAACATCCATATTACTTACTTATTCATCCCTTCTAGACTTCCCCACCACTGGTTTCCAATTTCTCCCCTTTATTACCTTACACATCTTAAGTTTTCCATTCAGTTCAAGTCCATTGATAACCCTAATTCACATGACTTCATAGATGCTATGTCAATCCTGCTAATGTTTTCAAGTCTTTACTGTGGAGCTTAAGATAGTGTATAAATTTAGTCCAGTCTCGTATAAACTTTTTTGTATCTTGGTCCCGGATTTTCACGGCCCTCTTTGCCATTTTGGCATAGTCTGTCGTCTTAGTTATCCATTCCTCCTTCGTTGGTACTTCCTCTTCTTTCCATTTCTGGGCAAGTAGCATCTTTGCGGCTATATTAAAAGCATTTAAAAAATAAAATTACCCCTACTTGCCATACGTCCAGGTTTCCCTGGACATTTTGCCAATACACCAAAAATCTGCTCAGACGCCATTTTGCAGCCCAGTTCCCGGACGTATGACAGCCCTATGTGCAAAAGAGAGGGACTTTGCTCTGGAGGTGTCATCCTGACTATGGAACAAATGCTCCCTGTCCCCCATGGGAGATATGTCTGGCAACCACCAGTGCATTCATTTCGACACCAAGTTAAAACATTTTTAATTCTCCAGGCATCTTGCACCACAATTATTCTTTTTTAGCTAACTGGATAGTGTTATTTCTCTTTAAGTTTGCTTCATTGTTTGTCAGCCTAAAAAGCTGCCTTTAGACTGAGCCAGACTCTAGATCAGTATTTCCTACACAGATTGGCAGCAGCTCTTTGGGGCCTGGCGTTCAAACTGGACTCTCTTCCACTGCTACCTGGACACTGAACGTGAGGCCTACTCAACTAGGACCCTTCCTATTTTTTATTTTTGCAATTTCCCATTTCTTTGTATGCTGGTGGGAAATCCCTTTGATGAAGACTAACTTTTGCCCTTTTATAAAAACAAAACATAAGATAAGCATTTGGGAAATAGTCGCTGAAGTGAAGCTTCCTGCTCACTCTCCCCCCCCCCCCACTTCACAATATCATTATTTATTAAATTTCTATCCCACCCTTCCTCCCAAAGGAGCCCAGGGTGGCAAGGATGTAGTATGTCTTCTGGAAGGGTGAGTAAAGGAGATTTTCCTGCAGAGTTTAAGGGGTGGCAGATGATACCCAGCTCTTTTGAAGCAAGTAGATGACCGAAGCTTCTCCATTCCCACCCCACAAACCTTTGCTCCTTATCCCTCCTTTCCCACAGTTATTCCAGTTGCTCAAAACAGTGCAGTCAGAGATTTAGCCCCTGACTTTCAACTGGATTAGTCTGGGTAGCTGCTGCCTCTCTCTCCCTTTACCAGTCCATTCATAGCTGTTGAACTCTTTAGAGGTTCTGCCCTCCATCACACCTTTGGTGTCAGTTTCCAATAGCTCTGCAATGTTTCAAAGGACGCCTCACCCAGACAACCACCCATTGTTCCAAGGGAAGGCCAGTTGATCCTGGTAATCTTTGCTGCCCCGGGTTACAGCAGCCATTCCCAGAATTCATTGCTTCTGAGGCCAAGTGCCTGAAATCATAAATAACATTTTCTGCCCCTATCAAGCCAATGAGCCTCTGAACAAGTTCCTGAGTCAAATGCCTTTGCACACAAGACAGAACCTCTTGTAGCTTCTAATAAAGACATGAGAGACTTTTCTGTCACCCGCCCACCCAAATGTGAATATGATAATCTCCTGAACCACCCCCACGGTACTCTCTTAGTCAGATTTAGTTGTCTCACTCCACGTACGGCATGCGGTCGCCAGTCTGAGTTATTAGAATCCTGCTTTCATCCATAAACAGTGAAACGGTATGAAAATTCATTTCGATTGTATTCCTGCAAGGCTGCGGAGGAGAATGACTAAGAAATGGAAGCACTTTGTCGAACTGAAAATGCTTTGCGTGACTGTAAACGCCTTCATAATAAATGGCTTCTCTTCATAATAACAGCTTGGTTTTCTGAAAAGGGTGACAGCAATATCTTCCAAGGGAACAAGGCAAGCTGGCAGGTGATTTAGCTTCATGCCTGATAAGCTGGCCTTTGAATTGCAAACCGGGAACAAGCCTGGCGGGTTGCTGGCAGGGAGTGCATAGCTCATCTCAAACTGCGGCTGCGCAGGTGCGCCACTGCAGCTGGAAGTTGGGCCTTGAGACGATACACCCCACATTTCTGCCTTTACTGTTAGCATATGCAGTCAGTACAGTATGTATTGCCGTTCACACAGGACTCTGTGGTGCTCCGATCTTCAGAAATAAGCAAGGAAATAAAAGATTCTGTCCTGACAAGCTGGATTCTGTGGTCTTTAAATTGTACCAGTCTGCATTACAGTGGTACCTCAGGTTACAGATGCTTCAGGTTACAGACGCTTCAGGTTACAGACTCCACTAACCCAGAAATAGTACCTCAGGTTAAGAACTTTACTTCAGGATGAGAACAGAAATTGTGCAGCGGCAGCGGGAGGCTCCATTAGCTAAAGTAGTACCTCAGGTTAAGAACAGTTTCAGGTTAAGAACAGATCTCCAGAACGAATAAAGTTCTTAACCTGAGGTACCACTGTATATGGCTTTCCTCTGCAAACTTTTATTATTCTGCATTTGCTAGTCATAGTGGGGAGCTGCTCTGGACACTGAAATCTTATGCAGACCACCCCTCTCTCTTTCCAAAAAGTGTTACTGGGATCTTTTTTTAAAAAAGGGAAATTACCCCGAGTCTCACATGCAGACAGCCAGTCAATTCCAACAAAGGTTGTGTACACGTTACCAGTTTAAATCACAGCTAGGATGTTCTTTTTTCCGAATTCAGATCAAAAAAGGTTTGGAGGGGGAAACGCATGAAAATGCAGAATTTCATAAGAAACGACAGGACAGATATGGATCAGGGCTAACGTTGCTTCCCAAACACATGGTCTAAGCTCACTGCATGCAGATGATGATGATGATTAATTTGAACCCTGCTTTTCTCCCTGACGAGACTCAAGGCAGCTTACAGATAAAAATAAAAGCTGCAATTCTGTAGGTATCTACTAAAAAATGACCCCCATGGACTTAATCAGATTGCAGTCTCAGTTGGTCTTAAAGGCCCATATACTGTATTTTACAACCTATCTTCATGAGGGTTAGAAACTTGCTTTAAACACACACACACACACAGGCTGATATTTCAATTTTCAGTAGTCTAAAAGTCT